ATACTCTTCAGGACATCATCCAGGAAAATTTCCCCCACCTAGCAAGACAGGCCAACACTCAAATGCAGGAAATACAGAGAACACCACAAAGATATTCCGCAAGAAGAGCAACCCCAAGGCACATAATCGTCAGATTCAACAGGGTTGAAATAAAGGAGAGAATACTAAGGGCAGCCAGAGAGAAAGGTCGGGTCACCCACAACGGGAAGCCCATCAGACTCACAGCAGATCTCTCGGCAGAAACACTACAAGCCAGAAGAGAGTGGGGGCCAGTATTCAACATTCTTAAAGAAAAGAACTTTCAACCCAGAATTTCATATCCAGCCAAACTGAGCTTCAGAAGTGAAGGAAAGATAAAATCCTTTGCGAACAAGCAAGTACTCAGAGACTTTGTCACCACCAGGCCTGCTTTACAAGAGCTCCTAAAAGAGGCACTACACATAGAAAGGATCAACCAGTACCAGCCATTCCAAAATCACACTGAATGCTAAAGAGCATCAACATAATGAAGAATCTACAACAACTAACAGGCAAAACAGCCACTTAGCATCAAAATGGCAGTATCAAATTCACACATAACAATATTAACCCTAAATGTAAATGGACTAAATGCACCAATCAAAAGACACAGACTGGCAAATTGGATAAAAATCCAAAACCCATCAGTGTGCTGTATACAGGAAACCCATCTCACATGCAAGGATACACAAAGGCTCAAAATAAAGGGATGGAGGAAGATTTACCAAGCTAATGGAAAGCAAAAAAAAAGCAGGAGTTGCAATTCTCATCTCTGATAAAATAGACTTTAAAGCAACAAAGATCAAAAGAGACAAAGAAGGACATTACATAATGGTAAAAGGATCGAAACAACAAGAAGAGCTAACGATCCTAAACATATATGGACCCAATGCAGGAGCACCCAGATACATAAGGCAAGTTCTTAATGACTTACAAAAGGACTTAGACTCCCACACAATAATAGTGGCAGACTTTAACACTCCACTGTCAATACTAGACAGATCAACCAGACAGAAAATCAACAAGGATATCCAGGGCTTGAACTCAGACCTGGAGCAAGCAAACCTGATAGACATTTACAGAACTCTCCACCCCAAATCCACAGAATACACATTCTTCTCAGCACCACATCACACCTACTCTAAAATTGACCACATAATTGGAAGTAAAGCACTGCTCAACAAATGCAAAACAACTGAAATCATAACAAACAGCCTCTCAGACCATAGTGCAATCAAGTTAGAACTCAGAATTCAGAAACCGACCCAGAACCGCACAGCTTCATGGAAACTGAACAACTGGCTCTTGAATGTTGACTGGGTAAACAATGAAATGAAGGCAGAAATAAAGAAGTTCTTCGAAACCAATGAGAACGAAGACACAACGTGCCAGAACCTCTGGGACACATTTAAAGCAGTCTCTAGAGGAAAGTATATAGCAATAAGTGCCCATATGAGGAGAATGGAGAGATCCAAAATTGACACCCTATCGTCAAAATTGAAAGAGCTAGAGGAGCAAGATCAAAAAAACTCAAAACCCAGCAGAAGACAAGAAATAACTAAGATCAGAGCTGAGCTGAAGGAGATTGAGACACGAAAAACCCTTCAAAAAATCAATAAATCCAAGAGCTGGTTTTTTGAAAAGATCAACAAAATAGACAGACCACTAGCCAGATTGATTAAAAATAAAAGAGAGAAAAACCAAATAGATGCATTAAAAAATGATAAAGGGGAAATCACCACAGATTCCACAGAAATTCAAACCATCATCAGAGAATATTACAAACAACTCTATGCGCATAAACTAGTAAACCTGGAAGAAATGGATAAATTCCTGGACTCCTGTGTCCTCCCAAGCCTAAACCAGGAGGAAGCTGAAACTATGAATAGACCAATAACAAGGTCTGAAGTTGAGGCAGCAATTAAGAGCCTACCACACAAAAAAAGCCCAGGTCCAGACGGGTTCACAGCCGAATTCTACCAGACACACAAAGAGGAGCTGGTACCATTCCTTCTAAAACTATTTCAAACAATCCAAAAAGAGGGAATCCTTCCCAAATCATTTTATGAGACCAACATCATCCTGATACCAAAACCCGGCAGAGACCCAACAAGAAAAGAAAACTTCAGGCCAATATCCATGATGAACATAGATGCAAAAATCTTCAATAAAATATTGGCAAGCCGACTGCAACAGCAAATCAAAAAACTTATTCATCATGATCAAGTAGGATTCATCCTGGGGATGCAAGGCTGGTTCAACATACGCAAGTCTATAAACGTAATTCACCCCATAAACAGAACCAAAAACAAAAACCACATGATTATCTCAATTGACGCAGAGAAGGCATTCGACAAAATTCAACAGCCCTTTATGCTAAAAACCCTCAATAAACTCGGTATCGATGGAACGTATCTCAAAGTAATAAAAGCTATTTATGACAAACCAACAGCCAATATCATACTGAATGGGCAAAAACTGGAAGCATTCCCTTTGAAATCTGGCACTAGACAAGGATGCCCTCTTTCACCTCTCCTATTCAATATAGTACTGGAAGTTCTAGCCAGAGCAATCAGGCAAGAAAAAGAAATAAAGGGTATTCAAATAGGAAAGGTGGAAGCCAAAGTGTCTCTATTTGCAGACGACATGATAGTATACCTAGAAGACCCCATTGCCTCAGCCCAAAAACTCCTGAAACTGATAAGCAACTTCAGCAAAGTCTCAGGATATAAAATCAATGTGCAAAAATTACAATCATTCGTCTACCCCAATAACAGACTTAAAGAAAGCCAAATCAAGAACGAACTGCCATTTGCAATTGCTACAAAAAGAATAAAATACCTTGGAATACAACTCACAAGGAACGTAAGAGACCTCTTCAAGGAGAATTACAAACCACTGCTCAACGAAATCAGAGAGGACACAAACAGATGGAGAAACATTCCATGTTCATGGTTAGGAAGAATTAATATCGTGAAAATGGCTATACTGCCCAAAGTAATTTACAGAATCAACGCTATCCCCATCAAGCTACCATTGACTTTCTTCACAGAACTGGAAAAAAACCACCATGAACTTCATATGGAACCAAAAGAGAGCCCGCATAGCCAAGTCAATTCTAAGCAAAAAGAACACAGCGGGGGGCATCACACTACCGGATTTCAAATTATACTACAAGGCTACAGTAATCAAAACAGCATGGTACTGGTACCAAAACAGAGATATAGACTAATGGAACAAAACAGAGGCACCAGAGGCAACACAACATACATACAACTATACAATCTTTGATAAACCTGACAAAAACAAGCAATGGGGAAAGGATTCCGTGTTTAACAAATGGTGTTGGGAAAACTGGCTAGCCATGTGCAGAAAGCAGAAACTGGACCCCTTCCTGACACCTTACACTAAAATTAACTCCAGATGGATTAAAGACTTAAACATAACACCTGGCACGATAAAAACCCTAGAAGGAAATCTAGGCAAAACTATCCAGGACATAGGAGTAGGCAAGGACTTCATGAACAAAACACCAAAAGCATTGGCAACAAAAGCCAAAATAGACAAATGGGACCTAATGAAACTCCACAGCTTCTGCACGGGGGCAAAAGAAACAGTCACTAGAGTGGATCGGCAACCAACAGAATGGGAAAAAATTTTCGCAGTCTACCCATCTGACAAAGGGCTGATATCCAGAATTTACAAAGAACTCAAACAGATTTACAGGAAAAAAACAAACAAGCCCAATCAAAAGTGGGCAAAGGATATGAACAGATACTTTACGAAAGAAGACATATATTAGGCCAACAATCATATGAAAAAATGCTCATCGTCACTGGTCATCAGAGAGATGCAAATCAAAACCACATTGAGATACCATCTCACGCCAGTTAGAATGGCGATCATTAAAAAATCTGGAGACAACAGATGCTGGAGAGGATGTGGAGAAAAAGGAACACTTTTACACTGTTGGTGGGAGTGTAAATTAGTTCAACCATTGTGGAAGACAGTGTGGCGATTCCTCAAGGCCTTAGAAATAGAAATTCCATTTGACCCAGCAATCCCATTACTGGGTATATATCCAAAAGACTATAAATCGTTCTACTATAAGGACACATGTACACGAATGTTCATTGCAGCGCTGTTTACAATAGCAAAGACCTGGAATCAACCCAAATGCCCATTGATAATAGACTGGATTGGAAAAATGTGGCACATATACACCATGGAATATTATGCAGCAATCAGAAATGATGAGTTTGTGTCGTTTGTAGGGACATGGATGAATCTGGAGAACATCATCCTCAGCAAACTGACACAAGAACAGAAAATGAAACACCGCATATTCTCACTCATAGGTGGGTGATGAAAAATGAGAACACAAGGACACAGAAAGGGGAGTACTAAACACTGGGGTCTATTGAGGGGAAAAGGGGAGGGCTAGTGGGAGGGGGAGGTGGGGAGGGATAGCCTGGGGAGAAATGCCAAATGTGGGTGAAGGGGAGAAGAAAAGCAAAGCACACTGCCATGTGTGTACCTAAGCAACTGTCTTGCATGCTCTGCTCATGTACCCCAAAACCTAAAATCCAATAAAAAATTTAAAAAAAAAAAAGAAATTTCATATCCTCTATATTACTTTTTGGTTAAACTCTCACATCATTAATTACATTATCTACAACCTCTCATGTAAGTTTAACTCTTTTGATGTCCAGAAAAATTATCCAGGTCTGTACATTCCCCCCACCAAACATACTCTCATCATACACCACAGAAGATCTCTCAGTACTATATGTGAGATCTTGCACATATAGGGGATGAGAGTTCAATATATGTTCACTAAAATTGCTCAAAAGTCATCTCAGTTATTAGGCAGTTTCCTTATGACTATTACTCTATGAATTTGCTTACTGATCGTGAATATGAAGTAATGTAAATTAATTTTTATAAAGAAGGAATCTTTAGAATCTCTTTTGAATAAATACCTGGCAGAATAAATGAACTTTAGTTTCCATTTTTCTGTTTAGAGGTAAATTCTGTCCTTGAGGACCCTCGGCTTTGATGAACAACTATGAATGAACAATAGTACAAAAGGATTTCCTGCCAAAAAAAAGATATAAAAAAATCATATGCTTATTTAGGAGACTTAATTATATTTACCTATCTGAAGTTATCTCTTCAACAAACACTGACTTGGGGTATGATACACAATAAATTTCGCCAACACAGATATGTGAACAAACACTAGAAAAAGAATTTAGTAGACTATACATCACAGACCATCCAGTTCCTTAACTTTACCTTTTGTGGTATAAGGAGAAATCTAATTTCAAATGGCATACAAACCAGAGAAATCCAATTACATCTGTTTATTTAAATAAACTCTGAGAAGCAGAACTGCTAAGACAATGGTAATCACTCATGTTACCAAATGTTTCCTATGTGTCTATGCGCTAAATATTATGATAAAGACTTGAAGAGATCAAGTTTCCCAAGATCACACAGCCAGCAAATAGTGGAGATAAAATTTGAATTCAGACAATTTAACTCCAAGCATGTGGTCTTCAGTCCCATAGAAGATTGCCTCTCAAACAATACTACTACTGCAAACAAAAAATGATGTAGCCTCACTTTAAAACAGACTTTCACATTATGCAAATGTGATAACCAACACTTAGAAATTCCTCAAATTTTCACATTTTTAACTCATATCTGAGTTACATTTAATGAGCTATTTATCACAGTGCTAACTATATTACATTATATTACATTGCTAGTTATAATCATCAGTCTTTTTCTTGTAAAGTTTAACTGCAAGTATTAATATTCTAAGACAGAGTACTTAAAATCATTTGCCTTTATTTCTGACATATGTTAATAGTTATTATTTTTCAATGTGATACAGCCAACATTCCTGGAATTCAAAATATGTTAAAAAATAAAATAGAACCACATTAAAAATTCTCATCTCAGAAAATATTTGAAACCTATACAGGTCTCCCCAGTAACCCATTCTACGTAATTTCTTCTAGATCTTTTCTAACCAGTTCAATCTTCATACCTCTAAACTACTGTACACTTAATGTCTTCACTATTCTTGTCTTCACTATTTAACTGACATTAATTATTTGCCTTGTATTTGTATTTAATTTTCACATGTACAGCTCCTATACCAACTACAGCCTAAATTTATAAAGAACCAGGACTGGTAACTTATAATTCTTAAAATTACTTCTCACAGTATCAAACACAATGCTATATATATATATATAATGAAGAAAAGCGTAGAGGAAAGAAGGGAAGGGATGGAGGGAGAGAAGGGAAAAGAGAGGGACAGAGGGATGAATGAACAAATTCCCTCCCTACTAGGCTACTCACCAAGAGTTCTTAAACCATCAAAGTGCTTAATTAAGCAGAGTTGGCACGTTTTGAATAAATCTTGAAAGGAACAACTGTTTTGTAATTTATTGACCAGATTATCAAAAAGTTGGCAGGTCTTAATTTGCTGGATGAATAAGCCTCTCCAAACTTAAAAGAAAAAATTAACATAGAAAGTCTGTCTATTCCCTATAACTCTGACCATACTGCTGTTTCTCAACTCTTTCAATCCCGTATCTTTGAACTTGCAGGAACAAATCAAGAGAAATGGAGGGAGACATATCCCTCTTCTCCAGTCATCTATCCATGAATTCAATGTGTATGTTTGCATGCTTAGTATGCACTACGTTCTCTCCCAGGCTCTAGGGATGCAGCAATGAACAAAACAGAAAAAAAAAAAAAAAAAAAAAATCTGCCCTCATGGAGCTTACATTCTAGTCAGGGAGTGAGATGATAAAATAGAAAAATAAAACATATCATATGTTAACTGCAAGAAGAACCAAAAAAAAAATAGTAAAGCATGGAGGGGAATATGAAATGTAGTATGGGGAGGAGATGCAGGGAACAGAAAAGGTGGCCAAGGAAGACCTTACTGAGAGGGAGACTTTTGAGTACAGACCTGCAGGAACTGAAGTAGGGAGCTGATTAATATCTTAGGGAAGAGCATTTCAGCCATAAAGAAAAGTACAAAAGCCCTAAGGCAAGAAGAATGTTCAAGGAGTAGTGGGAAAACCCCATGAGACTGAAGCAGGAGAGGAGATCAGAGAGGCTAAGGAAGGATGGCAGATCATGGAGGACCCCTAGATGACAGTAAGAACTTTGGCTTGTACTCTCAAGGACTGACAAGCATTGAAGAGTTCTGAGGAGAAGAATGATATAATCTGAAGTTCTTTCTGAAAGGATCACTCTGGTTACTGTGAGGAGGAAAATCTGGTAAGTCTGGGTTCCTGGATGCCAAGTGAAGAAAGGTACTTCAAGAGTGAGTAATCAGGCTGTGCATGGTGGTTTATGCAGGTAATCCCAGCACTATAGGGTGGTCTAGGCAGGAGGGCTGCTTAAGGCCAAGAGTTCAAGACCTTTTGCCTGGGCAAAAGTGAAATTCTCATCTCTACAGATTTTTTTTTATTTAGCTGGGCACGGTGACCTTAGTCCCAGCTACTCCAAAGACTGAGGCAGAAGGATCCTTTGAGCCCAGGAGTTTGAAGCTGCAGTGGACTATGATTGCACCACTGCATTCCAACCTGGGTGACAGAAAGAGACCTTGTCTCAAAAAAAAAAGTGGGTGAGGTCAGAACTGAATGTTCACTAGGTTTCACAACAGGGAGGACACTGACAACCTTGAAAGGAGCCATCTAGGGGTGGGTGGTAAGGAGACAATGTCCTTGAAGTGAGTACAAGAGAGAACGGGGTAAAGAAATTGAACCCAGCCAGTAAGGTAAGCTCTTTCAAGGAGTTATGCTGTTAAGAGAAATAAGGTAGTAGGTGAGGGGAAAATGGGGCTGTGAGGGTTTAAGACAAGAAAAACAAAGGAATCTTCATTGAACATGAGAAAAACAAAGGAATCTTCACTGAAGTGTGACATTCCTTCACAAAGTACTTTCCTCTTTTGTGCCACATTTCCCTCACAAGCCGCCCCACTCACTCGCTTTTCCCTCTCTAGAGGGACTGCACCTCATTAATACCAACTGCTTACACAACTCCATTCCGGGTACTGCCATTCATGAACGTCAAGCATTCGTCACCCCGTTTTCTTATCTGTACAACAAACATTAATGAACTTCCCCCTCTACCAAGAACCCGCGCTGGGGAGGCTTCCCATAGGCCGCGCCCGTGTAAAGCCAGCAACTTCTATGGGAAGAAAGCGGACATGTAAACTGGTGAGTGAACGACCCGCAAGATGGAAACGGTGCCCTAATAAAGGTCTCAGTCCCACGCTGAAGAAGCAGGGAAGTGACCCAACCCCCGGGCTGCCAGCCTCGTACAACGACCACCATTTCTGAAGAACCATCTTTGGCTGGTTTGGTTTTATTGTGTTTGTTTTTCCTATGTATTTACCGTATGCAGGTGGGCAGATCAGTCCCAGTCACCCTTCACTCTGCCCCTTTGTCCCACTCGGTCCCCTTACTCCTCACTATTTCTTTCTGGAACCTTCCTTAACCCAGCCCCAACACTGTTCTACTTCATCCCTCGCACCCCACTGCATTTTCCACCCTGCACCTCGAAGGCTCCCCTCCCATCTCCTCCACGAGTCTTGCCTTCCTTCCCCGCCTCTCTTCCCTGAGGGTCCCACTACCGGCCCGGAGCTGCCCTCCCTCCCGCCTGGCTCGAGGCCCCAGCGCTCTCTGAGGTTGGCAGGATCCCGCCGTCAGCCCCTGACGCCCCTCCGGCGGCGCCGCTCTAGCTCTCCCTACTTCCCATGCTCCGGCGCAGCGCGGCCACGCCCCCGCAGTCACCTGACCGAACCCGACGCTCCGCCCACCGAGCACCCCGAGCTGGACGGGCCTGGGACCCTGGCCGCCGTGGAGACGTTGCTGCCACGGCTACCGCCACCGCTCAGGGGCTCCGGGGCCGTGGAGCGCAGCTGACCTCAACGCCGCCTCCGTGCCGACTGGAAGGCGCTGCGGCCGCGCCCGCCTACCCCACCTCATAAAGGCCTGTGACCTCACTAGGCGGGCCGAAGAGCGCTGCCCTCCAGCGGCTGGGACTCCGGACCGCGCCCTTTCCTCCCTCAGCCCCGGCCTCGATTCCACCCTACGTCCTTCCCATCCTCTCGCCACTCTTCCCTAATCGCTGTTCATTGTCCAGTGCTCTGTCCCACCATGGTCTGACCCCATTTCAATTTTACCTTCCTTCCGTCCTTTGAACACCCCCGACCCCCGAGCCCTTTCTTCTAAAACGTTCCGTTCTTCTTGGCTTCTGCTACTCAATAATGGACAGCAGCTCGAAGGCCATGTGTCCCACGGCTTTGCTGAAATTTGTCGCGGGCTGCCTTTCAGGGTACTGTCGTTTCTTTTTGAAAGAGATACTTTGGTTAGTTTGGTTTTATTGTGTGTGTTTGTTTTTCCTGTGTATTTACTGTATGCAGTTGGGCAAAATACTTATGCTCTCTGAGTGTCGATTTTCTCATTCTTCCATTGTTGTGGAAATTCAAAAATACGTAGTGCTCAATAAATGTTACAGTATTTAATCCCCTCCGTGATACTACTGTGTTCATTTAGATCTTAAACCTTGCTTTGTAGGCATTCTTTAATATTTTTATTTTGAGATTTTGTTAAAAATATATACAAATCATAATTGTAAATATTTAATGGGGTACAATGTGGTATTTTAATATATATATATATATATATATATACACACACACACACACACACACGCACACACACAATATGGAATGACTAAATCAAGCTTAATATACCCATCACCTCATTTAACGTTTTTTGTGGTGGGATATTTGAAATTTACTCTTAGCAATTTTGAGATATACAACACATTATTATTAGCTATAGTCGCCACACTATGCAATAGATCTCAGAAACTTACTGCTCCTGTCTGACTGAACCTTGTACCCTGTGAACAGCGTCTCTCCATCCTCAGTCTCCTACCTGCCCCCTCCTTTCCCAGCCTCTAACCACTATTTTACTGTCTACTTCTATGAGTTTGACTTTTTAAGATTCCACATTTAAGTGAGATCATGTGGCATTTGTCTTTCTGTGCCTGGCTTATTTCACTTAGTATGAATGAACCTCCAGGTTGATTCATGTTGTCACAAATGACAGAATTTCTTTTTTAAGGCTGAATAGTATCCATTATATATATATACCGCATTTTCTTTATTCATCCATTGATGCACGCACGTTGATTCCATATCTCAGCAATTGTGCATAATACTGAAATAAACATGGAAGTGCAAATATGTCTTTGATATACTGATATCAGTTACTCAATATATGCCTAGAAATAGGATCACTGGATCATATAGTAGTTCTTAATTTTTAATTTTTTGGGAAACCTCTACATAGTTTTCCATAATGGCTGTAATAACATAACACAAACAGTGTGCAAGTTTTCTCCACATCCTCACCAACACTTACTATTTTTCAGCATTTTCATAATAGCTACTTTTTTTTTTGAGATGGAATCTTCCTCTGTTGCCCAGGATGGAGTGCAGAAATGCAATCTCAGATCACTGGAACTTCTGTTCCTGGGTTCAAGCAATCCTCCTGCCTCAGCCTCCCAAGTAGCTGGGATTACAAGCATGTGCCACCATATTTGGCTAATTTCTGTATTTTTAGTAGACACGGGGTTTCACCATGTTGGCTAGGCTGGTCTGGAACTCTTGACTCTCAAGTGATCCGCCCACCTCAGCTCCCAAAGAGCTGGGATTACAGGTGTGAGCCACCAGATCCAGCTTGATAATAGCTATTCTAACAAGTATGAGGTGATATTATAATTTTATTTAGCATTTCCCTAATAATAGTGATTTTTTTTTTTTTTTTCACAAACCTGTTGGCCATTTTTATGTCTTCTTTTAAGAATGCCTGTGTCAGGCTGGGCATGGTGGCTTGTGCCTATAATCTCAGCATTTTGGGAGGCCAAGGTGGGAGGATTGCTTAAGCCCAGGAGTTTGAGACCAGCCTGGGCAATAGTGAGGCCTCATCTCTACAAAAAAAAAAAATCTTTTTAATGTCTGTTCAGATTATTTGCTTTCTTGCTACTGAGTTTCTTGTATATCTTGGATATTAACCCCTCATCAGATGTATGATTTGTAAATATTTTCTCCCATTCAGTGGGTTGTCTCTTCACTCTGTTAACTGTTTCCGTTGATGTGCAGAAGCTTTTAGTTTCATGTAATCCCATGTGTTTATTTTTTGTTTTGTTCCCTGTGTTTTTGAGGTCATGTCCAAAAAAATGCCCAGACCAATGTAATGGAGCTTTCCCCCATATCTTTTTCTAGTGGCTTTCTTCTATGTTTTCTTCTAGTAGCTTTCCCCCTATGTTTTCTTCTAGTAGTTCAAGTCTTACATGTAAGTCTTCAGTCCGTTTTTACTTTTGTATATGTTGTGAGATAAAGGTCCAAATTTCATTCTTCTGCACATAGATATACAGTTTCCCAAAAGTTTTTTATCAAAGAAACTCCTTTCCTGATTGTGTGTTCTTAGCTCCTTATCAAAATTCAAGTCTGTAAATTCTGGACTCATATTCTATTGGCCAAGTGTCTGTTTTTATGCTGTTTTGCTTATTGCAACTTTGTCATTTATTTTAAAGTCAGGTAGCATGATGCCTTCAGCTTTGTTCTTTTTGCTCAAGATTGCTTTGGTTATTTGGGATCTTTTATGGTTCCATATGAACTTTAGGATTTTTTATTTCGATGAAAAATAACTCTGGAATTTTGATAGGAATTGCAATGAATCTATAGATCACTTTGAGTAGCATGGGCTTTTTTTTTTTTTTTTTTTGGAGACAGAGTCTCACTCTGTTGCTCAGGCTGGAGTGCAGTGGCGCAATCTTAGCTCACCACAACCTCTGCTTCCCAGGTTCAAGTGATTCTCCTTCCTCAGCCTCCCAAGTAGCTGGGACCACAGGCATGTGCCACCATGCCTGGCTAATTTTTGTATTTTTAGTAGAGACAGGGTTTCACTATGTTGGCTAGGCTTGTCTTGAACTCCTGACCTCATGGTCTGCCCACCTTGGCCTCCCAAAGTGCTGGGATTACAGGCATTAGCCACTGCACCCAGCCTCATGGGCATTTTAATTATATTAATTATTCCAATTCAAGAACATGGGCCATCTTTTCATTTATTTGTGTTTTCTCCAATTTCTTTCATTGGTGTTTTGTAGTTTTCAGTATAAAGATGTTTCACTTTGTTGGTTAAATTTACACCTTTTTTGTTTCAGTTTTGGTTCTTGCTAATGCAAGTAGAATTATTTTCTTAATTTCTTCTTTGTATAGTTTGTTTTTAGCATCTAGAAATGCTGCTGATTTTTGTGTGTTGACTGTGTACAGCAACTTTACTGAATTTATTCTAACAGTTTTTTGGTGGAGTCTTTAGGGTTTTCCATATGTAAAATCATATTGTCAACAAACAAAATTCCAACACTTACTTTCCTGTTAAGATGTCTTTTATTTCCCTCTCTTGCATAATTATTCTCACTAGAACTTCCAGTGCTATGTTGAAAAAAAAAAAAATGGTAAGAGTGGGTATCCTTTTCTTGTTCCTGATGTTAAAGGAAATGCCTTCAACTTTTCACTGTTGAGAATGTTAGCTACAGGCTTGTCATATACGACCTTTATTGTGTTGAGGTACGTTCCTTCCGTACTTAATTTGTTGAGAACCTTCATCATGAAAGGATGGTTAATTTTGTCAGATGCTTTTTATGCATCTATTGAAATGATCATATGGTGTTTGTCCTTCATTCTGTTTATGTGGTGTATCACATTTGTAGATTCCCATATGTTGAACCATCCTTGCATCCCGGGGATAAATCCCACTTGATCATGCTGAATTATTCTTTTAATGTATTTTTGAAGTCAGTATGCTAGTATTTTGTTGAGGATTTTTGCATCTATATTCATTAGGGATATGACCTGTAATTCTTCAGTGCTTTTTAAATGTATGTATACAGTTTATCCCCCCCAAAGATTACGAAATATCTGAGTGCTGAGACCATGTCTTTTATTTTTGAAAATATCCCCAATCCACCCTCCCTCCCCCACATTTCCACTCCCCACACCTGTTGTGTTTTCAGTTGGTACCTCAGAGTACCGTTCAATCAGGCAAAGACCCTCTAAAGATTTTAAGAGTGGCTGGCCATGGTGGCTCACACCTGTAATCCCAGCACTTTGGGAGGCTGGGGGGGTTGATCACCTGAGGTCAGAAGTTCTAGACCAGCCTGGCCAACATGGTGAAACCTCATCTCTCCTAAAAATACAAAAAACTTGCTGGGTGTGGTGGCAAGTACCTGTAATCCCAGCTACTCAGGAGGCTGAAGCAGGAAAATCACTTGAACCTGGGAGGCAGAGGTTGTGGTGAGCCAAGATTGAGCCATTGCACTCCAGCCTGGGTGACAGGGTGAGACTCTGTCTTAAAAAAAAAAAAAAAAAAAAAACGCTAAAAAGATTTTCAGAGTGTGGTTCACAGGTCCTCTCATTCAAACAATAGGGCATCTAAGAAACTTAAGGTCTTTGTCCTTCAGCAGAAGCCCAAGGTAGAAAGAAACAAAAGAGATTTGCTGACATGGCTTTTGTCTCCTAGACTAAAACCCAATAAAATTCACAATGAATTCAAAAATTGTTTTAAGAGAACTGTATTGTCAGAAATACTGTCAGCTTGAGCTGAAAGGAAAGAAAGTACAAAAAAGGAAAGGGGCCTTTGGACCTCCACATTTCTACAAACAGGAAGCAAACTAAGAAAACTATTTAGATGCAAACACATCTACCTTTCACAAAAAAGGGATGACTTAGAGGATAAAACCAAGAGCCCAGAGGATGGAACCAAAAGCCGTAGGGAGTTATTTCCAGGCTTTGCATGTGGATCTGCAGACTTGTACTCAAGTGGATTTCAGAATTGCTATGAACCAGTGACTTCTGTGTACCTTGTTTTCCACCTGTTGGAATAGGAGTGTCCATAGCAGTTATCTCTCTGCCCCTGCCATTTTACATTGGTTGTTGTAGGGAAAGGAGCATATGACCTTTTTCTTTTTGTTCACAGAACTTCAGATTGAAAGGCACGTACCTGAGTAGTTGTATTTAGAGAATTACATCCAAGAAGCCTCATCATCACCTTATGTATAGGATAAGATTCTGAACTTTGAATTGATTCTACAATGGGATAAGATTCTGGGGCCTTAGAAGGGGTAAGTTTATTCTGCTTGTGGGAGAATTATAAATAATTTGTGACCAGAGGGTGGTCTAGGGTAGACTTAAAATATGTCCACAATCACTTTGATATTTGTATTAGTTTCCTATGCTGTGATAACAAATTACCACAAACTTAGTGGCTTAAATAGCACAAATTTATTATCTCAAATTTCTGGAGGCCAAAAGTAAAAATTGGGCCTTACAGGCTTAAAATCAAAGGCTGCATTCGTTATTGAGGCTGTAGAGGAGAATCCATTCTTTGCCTTTTCCAACTTCTATAGGCTGTATACATTCCTTGACGTGTGGCTCTATCAGTCTTACTCACCTCCATTCACGCTCACTCTGGCTCTCCTAACTCCCTCCTTTTTTTTTTTTTTTTTGACAGAGTCTCTTACTTTGTCACCCAGGCTGGAGTGCCGTGGTGCAATCTCTGTCGACTGCAACCCTTGCCTCCTGGATTCAAGTGATTCTCATGCATCAGCCTCACAAATAGTTGGGATTCGCCCAGCTGTTTTGTTTTGTTTTTTTGTATTTTTAGTAGATTCAGGGTTTTGCCATGTTGGCTAGGCTGGTCTCAAACTCCTGGCCTCAAGTGATCCAACTGCCTCAGCCTCCCAAAGTCCTGGGATTACAGGCATGAGCCGCCATGCCCAGCCCTGCCTCCCTCTTGTAAGGACACTTGCAATTACACTGAGTCCACTGAAATAATCCAGGATGATTGCCTCATCTAAAGATCATTAATTACCTCAAGAAAGTTGTTTGTTCCACATAGGGTAACATAGTCACAAGTTCTGGAGACAGGAATGTGGCTGTCTTTGGGGGCAATGATTCTGTTCACCATGCTCCTCCCTTCAAGAGGTGGCATCTATTCCCCTCTTGAATGTTGGCTGGATTTAGTGAGCTACATCTAATGAATAGCGTATGGCAGAAATTATGGTATGACACTTACAAAACTAAGTCATAACAAAACATCGTGGCTTCCTCCTTGTTCTCTCTTGGATTACTCCCTCTGGGAGAAACTAGCTGACATGCCATGCAGACTCTCAAGCAGTCCTATAGAGTTGTCCAAGTGGTGAAAAACTAAGGCCTGTTGCCAATAGCCAGCATGAAATTGATGCCTCCTGCCAACAGCCATGTGAGTAAGCCATCTTAGAAAATGATTCTCCAGCCCTTTTTAGCCTTCAACAGACTACAGTCCTGGCCAACAGTTTGACTCCAACCTCTTGGGAGTCTCTGAGCCAGAAATACCCAGCTAAGCCATTCCTGAATTCCTGACCATAGAAACAGCAAGATAATATTTGTTGTTTTAAGCTACTAAATTGTGGAGTAATTTCTTATGCAGCAACAGATAACTATTACAATCCCCACTGGGTGCAGTGGCATGTACCTGTAGTCCCAACTACTTGGGGAGGTTGAGGTGGGAGGATTGCTTGAACCTAGGAGTTCAAGTCCAACATGGGCAACATAGCAAGACCCCACCTCCTTAAAAAAAATTTAAAAATAAATAAAATAATACAATCCCCAAAGTCACATATTGACCTATGATGGCTACTTAACTTCTAGGTATTACCTCTGCATTCCAGCCTGCAGGATTAAGTAAATGGAGAAAAGTATGTTCCTTCCCTTAAACAGTATTTACCAGAAGTTGCATACACCTCTTTCATTTACATCTTCATTGCCTGTTAGATGGACATGGCACATGTGGCTACAAGATTTTTGCATGCTAACTTAGTATCCCGCAACTTTACCAAATTTGCTTATTAGTAATAAGAGAATAATATTTATTCTGGGCAACCATGTGCCCAACTAAAAATCAGAATTTCTAAAACTATGTGAGAAGCAGAAAACATACTGGGCATGATCAGCAACCTCTGCTACAATGGTGAGTGTAAGGGTCAGGAAAAGCGAAGTCCAGCACACACCCATCAACATTTTTTTTCCGATTTCTTAACTAAGTATTTCCACTGGCCACCAAAGTGATATTTACACATCATCACTGTGATCTCCCCAAAGAATCATGCCAATTCTGTATGAGTCACTGGAAAATCCAATTAACATACTAAAATGAAATCAATTGTGAAATTTTTCCTTACAAGCTCTTATCAGGGACACACTGCTAAAGAATAATTTACAATGGACATTTTGTTTAAAGGCTCCTAAATTTTCTAAACAGAGCTTTCTGTGCACAATCTTTGGTGTGTCAGAAAATACACAGCTGATGAAAAGTGTTTCCTTTATGCAAGGAGTTGGAGGGGCTTCTTTATAACATTAGCATCCTCAAGGAAGGCTTTCATGTTCCTGACCTCTGCATTTTTTTTCACATACAAACCATTCTTAGGTAGCCACATTAAATGGGTTTTTAAATTTTTATATAATGATATACTTAATCCTAATCACAAGCTTCTAAGACTGCCTCCTTGCATGTTTTAATCAAACTAAAACAAATTAGGAATATATGCTTCCATGTTGTATTATAAAACCAAATAGAAATGATTTTTACATGGCTTATTTGCAGAGCATACGTTATGGTTCCATTATATCATTGTGAAAATTAAGTACACTGTAATTCCCAGGCAGTCTGCTTGTAATTGGTCCCAGTGATCATTAGATGGCTCTGTTACTGTAGCGTCTGGACTACAGAAGGCAAGAGTTAAAGAATTACAAATGTGACAACATATAGTTTTTCATCTCATTTTACCTAAGATCCTCTATTTTCATCCAGACATTTAGTCAGCAGTTACCAAGACATAAATAAAACACAGTGACTCTCAAAATATTTCACCATAAAAGGTCTCAGTCTATGTTCATGTAAGCTCTTAATGATGTCATGCATTGTATTGTGCTGAAAAAAATGTACATGTAAAGAATTTAAGACTCAGGCCAGGCACGGTAGCTCACGCTTGTAATTCCAGCACTTTGTGAGGTTGAGGTGGAAGGATTGCTTGAGCCCAGAAGTTCAAGACCAGCCTGGGCAATATAGTGAGACCTCATCTCTAAAAAGAAAAATGTTTTTAATTAGCCAAGTGTGGTGGCATGTGCCTGTAGTCCCTACACTTTGGGAGGCTAAGGCAGGAGAATTGCTTGAGCTTGGGAGGTTAAGGATGCAGTGGCCATGATGGTGCCACTGCACTCCAGCAACAAAATGAGACCCTGTCTGAAAAAAAAAGGACTCAAAGACAAAGGTTATGTTATCAGTGTTCTGTAAAGTACTTCAGTCTCACACTGTTGGTGCTCAATACATTTAACAAATTCTAATATTATCCTAGCATCCTACAGGATGAACATGTTAATAATTAGGACTTTGTCCCATCTTCTGTGAATAAATTCCATAAGAATATTTTCTTGCTTATATCTTGGTACACATAAAAAGTATCTTGTTAGTTTTTTCCCAGGATTTTCACCTATTCTTTTAGTTTTTCATGGGAATCTGTGGTCATGTGTGAAACCAAGATGCCCCAGATCACTTAACCTAGAAATGGGTCAAAGTAGACTTTCGTTTTGTATGAGTGGATATTTCATTTTCTGAATATGTTATTCATCTTCTGAATTTGTTATTAACTGTATATAGTAACTGAGCTGCCTTACTATAAAGTTCTTGCTAGGCAAGAAGGCTACATATGTGACTCCTTAAATCAGTTGTTCTTAAACTTGAGCATGAATTAGAATCACCAGGAAGTCTTAAAACAGATAGTGGGCCAGGCGCGGTGGCTCAAGCCTGTAATCCCAGCACTTTGGGAGGCCGAGGCGGGTGGATCACGAGGTCAAGAGATTGAGACCATCCTGGTCAACATGGTGAAACCCCGTCTCTACTAAAAATACAAAAAAATGGCTGGGCATAGTGGCGCGTGCCTGTAATCCCAGCTACTCAGGAGGCTGAGGCAGGAGAATTGCCTGAACCCAGGAGGCGGAGGTTGTGGTGAGCTGAGATCGTACCATTGCACTCCATGCATTCCAGCCTGGGCAACAAGAGCAAAACTTCGTCTCAAAAAAAAAAAAAAAAAAAAAAAAAAAAAACAGACAGTGTGTCCTCACTCCCAGATTTTCTGATTCAGTAGTTGTGGGGTGGGGCCTGTCAATTTTCATTTCTAACAAGTTTCCAGCTGATATTGATGCTGCAGGTATTGGAACCACACTTTGACACCCACTGCCTTAAATAAAATTTGTCCTTTTAAATGGTCCTGTCAATAATTTGCCATTAAGCTCTTATTTTATCCATTTATGCCTCCTACAAACAAAACCTAGGCTACACTGGCAATCTGTTCTTTTGAGATTGCACAAGTTCCTAAATAATATCCAATTTTTTAAAAACTCAAACTCTTAGAATAATAATAACCTACTCATTTTAAAAATATTAAATCTAAAGAGGGCCAGGCCCAGTGGCTCACACCTGTAATCCCAACACTTTAAGAGGCCAAGGTCATGGGATTACTTGAGGTCAGTTCGTGACCAGCCTAGCCAACATGGTGAAACCCCGTCTCTACTAAAAATACAAAAATTAGCCAGGTATGGTGATGCATGCCTGTAATTCCAGCTACTCGGGAGTCTAAGGCAGGAGAATTGCTTGAGTCTGGGAGGTGGATGTTGCAGTGAGCAGAGATCACACCACCACAGCCTGGGTGACAGAGCAAGACTCCATCTTAAAAATAAATAAATAAATAAAAATACAAAAATTTGTCGGGCATGGTGGTGGCACCTGTAATCCCAGCAACTCAGGAGGCTGAGGGCTGAGGCAGGAGAATCACATGAGACCAGGAGGCAGAGGTTGCAGTGAGCCAAGATCATGCCACTGCACTCCAGCCTGGGTAACAGAGCAAGACTCCGTCACAAAAAAAAAAAACTAAAGAGACAGTCTGGATTCTGAAGCTAGCTTCAGTACCCATAGTAGTCATCATTCTGTTACATTTGGGAACATGCTTATTCTAAAATAATCATTTCTGAGCCAATGACACTTATTCTTTCACCCAAAGAAAATGAAAATAACAACACAGGAAGCATTGGGCAGCCGTAGGCCAATTCTTTTTAGAAAGTACATTTAATTCACTGTTGCACAAACCCAAACAGAGAAGGTGGTTAGGAAGTCAGGAAGGCACTTAAGAAATTTCAACCTGGAATATTTTACAAAGAAAAAGAGGCTTTGAATTCCCACGTTAAAATCATGGATGACTGGCCAGTCTAGATGGCTCATGCCTATAATCCCAGCACTTTGAGAGGCCGAGGCAGGTGAATCATCTGAGGTCAGGAGTTCAAGACCAGCCTGGCCAACATAGTGAAACCCTGTCTCTACTAAAATACAAAAATTAGCCGGGCATAGTGGTGGGCGCCTGTCCCAGTTACTTGGGAGGCTAAGGCAGGGGAATCACTTGAACCCAGGAGGCAGAGGTTGCAGTAAGCCAAGACTCCATCATTGAGCTCCAGCCTGGGTGACAAGAGTGAGGCTTCATCTCAAAAAAAAAAAAAAATCATGGATGACCTAGGAATATCTGAGAAGAACTGACTCCTAATATGGCAACTTGTCATGAATATTCAAAGTTCCCCACCATTGTCCACAGATCCTAAGACTAGATATAAATTTTCTCCAAAAGAGCTAGACACAATCCCTTTGTACTGTGACATCTGTCAGAACACTGTTTAGCTGTTCACCCCACAAGCCAAAGCTGCTATTTGCTACCTTATGAAAGCAGCTACAGGTTATCCCCACATATTGACAAATAGTACTGGTCTTCAAGACCTGTGACTTCATTCCAGTAGCTCAGAGAAGATTACTGATTTGATTTACCCTTTAAATACATTTTCTTCCCCCTTCAATATAGTTTCTTCATATAAAGCATCTTATCTAAAGAAAATGTCCCATTAACACGCTCATGGATCTGTCTTGGTAGCTGAAGATTATAATTAGGTTCCAGACTTCTTGGTTCCATGACTATCCCTCCGTGTCCCCTATTTATCCCTCTCCCACATTCCCGTTCCCTACAGTAAGGAGTAATCCCTGGGTGAGACAGGGCTCAGTCATGGCCCAGTATCTAATTCCAAGGCATATTCTCAATGTTAACACAAGAATACAGAATAGATACTTGAGCTACTTATGAATTCCTTTTCCCTAATATGTGGATGCAAATATGTACAAAGTGAAGGAAGAAGTAGTAACCAAATGAAGCTTAAGTGCTACGTCGGGAAAGATGTACCTATTAACAAATGTTGGAAAAGGGGTTTGGAGAGAAGGTAGAATGAGACTCTCGGAGAAAGGTGATATGGAATGGCATCTTCTCTTGCCAAAGCCCGGTCTCTCAGCTCTCCCAACTAAAAGCACAAACAGTATCAATATCCCACAGAATCTTGACCGCACATTTGATGCCACAGTAAGTCCCAGCATCTTAGAATGTTGACACTGAAAGAGGCCTTCAAGACTGGTTGCTCAAAACCCATCATTTCTCAGACTAGAAAACTGAGCCTTAAGGTGAAGAAAGTGACTTGCCTTAATTAGAGTCAAAGATTATTTAGCTGCAACACTGAGGCCAGAACTCCAGTTTTCTGCTCATGGAACAACTTATTAAGTCTTTCTTTTTTTCTTGGGTGTTTGGGAGTGGCTTTTTATGTTGGATGTATGTCAACACCAATGGAGCCACTGCTCTTCTGGAATGAAAGAACAGTCCCTCTTTCTCAGGAAAGGTCCAGTATGTCCATACATCTATCCCCATAGCCTTCCAGGGTGAGAGAGCCCCTCACAGATCCAGCCCCTGGGCAGGGACTTTCGGTGAATGATACCAAGTGGGAGTGTCTGTACCCTGCCCAAGTCTGTGTGGTTTCCTATGCTCTCCTTCTTTGCCATCACATACCCTTACAAATATAATGCAAGCATGTTTATATACATGTTCCTTTAGGTTAAGAAAACCTCTTCATGAGAAAAATAAAATAAAGTTGCACTGTGGCCTCTCAGATTAAAGACTGAGTTAAAATGAGGTTGTCCAGCTCATAGAAGAGCAGGCCACATATGCTGATACAACTGGCCCATCATTCCATCCTGGCACTTATTCCCAGCCAATTCATGGGAATAATTTCTTCACAAGGCAGCCAAGAGGTAGTAGGAAAATGCAATCAGCCCCATGGATGGATACAGCACACAGAGGCACAGGGCTGGTTTTGTAGAGGTGCCATGGACAAGGGAAAAAAGGCCAGAAGAGTAAGGCCGGACCCCTGGCTCTACAACAGCACTTTCTCCCTTAAAGGAAAAGCATTTGATCATGAGAGACATCATCAGCTTACAGCAAATGTCTACAGCAGTGACGTGTGGAATTAGGAGGTAAAGAGATGGTGCTGGCATAAGGGTGACACACTTCTTGTAAACAAACCTCCAGGGTAGAGCTGCCAATAGGGCAAATCTGGAGGGTTGTGATTATGTACTGGGAGATGCTGATACATCCCCCAGGCCATGAATGACCCCTGAGTGGCCCTGCCATCCTCACTCCCAACAGGTCAAAGAATTAGGCTGAAAGGACTTGAACCATAGCTGGATTAAAGGGATGGCGAAAGGCACAGGCAGCTCTGATAGTTCAGCTCTCCCCAACTCCTCCTTCAGCCTGAGGGAGGGGAAAGGAGGCAGAGGTACAGATGACCCGGGCTGCCAAGCCCAGCAGTTCCTACCATAGCTGCTGAGAGTCAGGCCCGAGAACCATAAACTTATGAACTCAGGGTAGAGCCAAGGCTTGGTGTCCCTTCCTCTGGAATGAGAGGCCTCAGTCCTGCCCTTCTCTTCAGGGACAATGGCCTGATGAGGAAAGCTGGCTCCTCACTGAGGTAATGATGAACACCTGCTCAGCTCCACAGTCACCCTCAAGCTAAACAGGAAGAATTCCTGCAGGAGGCATCCTGGGGACAAAGGCTAAGGAGCTCAGCTTATCATAACACATCACAATTTTAAATTACACATATCCACATGCAACACACACACACAACCCACACTTCCACATACCGACATTCTCCCAGCCCACCACACTCTGAGCCCCAAATCCCTCCCCACAAATACTGTCCTCTGTAAACATGATGGCAGAGACTCCTGCAATCCTGGCACAGGCTGATAATGATCTGAGGATGACTGCTTAACATTAAGTGCCCCGGTAGGTGATATTGGTGAAGGTAGATGTGGCCTCTTTATACAGTGGGTTATTGGCCTGTGAAGGAAACAGAAAAGCGTCTTACGGTGAATTCTTCAGTCCTTCCCTAACCCAAATTCATCTGATAAGTTTTCCCAAGGCAACCTTCTCTAGAATACACCATTAATGAAACAGAAAAATGTTCGTTTTACTCACACTTTAGTTCTTGGCACGAAAATTGATAGGAAATAACAGGAGGAGATGAGGTAGAATGCCATCCTGCCACTGTTTCTTATTTCTTATTTATTTATTTTTTAGATAGGATCTCATTCTGTTGCCCAGGTTGGAATGCAGTGGCACAATCTCAGCTCACTGCAACCTCCACCTCCCGAGCTCAAGACATCCTCCCACCTCAGCCTCCCAAGTGGCTGGGACTACAGGCACACACCACCATGCCTGGCTAATTTTGCATTTTTTGTAGAGATGGGGTACGGAAGGGTTTTGTCATGTTGCCCAAGCTGGTCTCAAACTCCTGAGCTCAAGCGATCCACCTGCCTCAGCTTCCCAAAGTGCTGGGATTACAGGTGTGAGCCACCACACCTGTTCGCCACTACTATTTCTAAGGAGCTAAATTCAGCCTATTACTCTTCAGTGATCCCACAGCATTCCAGAGCAGAACCTCTCCTGTTTCACCCTTGTCCCCATCTCTTTTGCCCTTCTCCCTTTTTCCATTCCCTTTGACAGTGATGGGAGATGTAGACAGGGACAGAAGTGTAGCAGGTGGAGTTCAGAACACAGAGGACAGCTTTTGCTCAGATAATTTTTAAATTGTTTTCATCTAATCCTGCCAAGCACTAACCAAGGTTGGGCATGGTGGCTTATGCCTGTAATCCCAGCACTTTGAGTGGCCAAAGTAGGAAGATCACTTGGGCCCAGGAGTTCGAGACCAGCCTGGGTAACAGAGTGAGACCCTGTCTCTACATGGGAAAAAAATACAAAAATTAGCTGGCTGTGGTGGTGTGTGCCTATAGTCCTGGCTACTCGGGAAGTGAGGTAGGGAAGTGAGCCCAGGATATCAAGGCTGCAGTGAGCTGTGATGGCACCACTGCATTCCAACCTGAGTGACAGAGTGAGACCCTGTCTCAAAAAAAGAAGGAAGGAGGGAAGAGAAAGTAAAGGAAGGGAGGGAGAGGAGGGGAAGAGAGGGGAGGGAAGAAGAGGGGAGGAGAGGAGAGGGGAGGGGAGGAGAGGGGAGGGGAGTAGAGGGGAGGGGAAGAGAGGGGAGGGGAGGAGAGGGGAGGGGAGGGGAGGGGAGGGGAGGGGAGGAGATGGGAGGGGGAAGCATTATCCACAAAACTGTCATGTGACCAGGAAAAAGTAAGACCCTCGCTAGGTTTCCCAAAATATTTTCCAAAAGAGGCAGGTGGATCACAAGGTCAGGAGATTGAGACCATCCTGACCAACATGGTGAAAGCCGGTCCCTACTAAAAATACAAAAATTAGCTGGGCATGGTGGTGCAGGCCTGTGGTCCTGGCTGCTTGGAAGGCTGAGGCAGGAGAATTTCTTGAACCAGGACCTGGGAGGCAGAGGTTGCAGTGAGCTGAGATCGTGCCATTGCACTTCAGTCTGGCAACAGAGCAAGACACCGTCTCAAAAAAAAAAAAAAGGTAACAAATCCCATAAGGTCTAGAAGTCCTTAATGGTAGCTTCATGAAACACATTTTTGTGGGACTCACAGGTACAGGATGTTCCACACTGTTCTAACAGAAACATTTCAGTTTCATGGGACCCTTGAGTACAAAACTCTGGGGTCACCATCAAATGGGAACAAACTTGCAGCCTAATCCTAACCCTGGACATTAGGGGAGTCAAATGGCCATTTGGAGGGTCCAGGAAAAAAGTTGAAATGTGAAAAAAGAGTCAAAAGGGAATACAGTAGGATTAAGTATATAGAATGTTCTCAGTAAATGCTTGTTTAATTAAATAAAATAAGAATAAAAGAGTAGAGTCTGATTTGGAAGCAAACTTTTTTTTTTTTTTTTTTTTTTTTTTTTTGAGACAGAGTCCTTCTCTGTCATCCAGAGCACGGTACAATCTTGGCTCACTGCAACCTCCATCTACCAGGTTCAAGTGATTCTCCTGCTTCAGCCTCCCAAACAGCTGGGATTATAGGCATGCGCCACCATGCCTGGCTAACTCCATCCATAGAGATGGAGTTTTGCCATGTTGCCCACCTTGGCCCCCAAAAGTGCTGGAATTACAGGTGTGAGCCACCACACCCAGCCTTGAAGTAACAATTTATTTGAGGAAAAAGAAAAGAATGAGGTGGAATGACATCCTGCCTCTATCTCTAAGAGGCTACCCAAAAAGTATCCCTATAGTAACCTAATTCCCTCCCAGAATCAGGCAAAGTTCTTAACTTCTCTGCACTCAGTTTCTTTACCTACAAAATGGGAATAATAATATTGCCCACCACGTAATGTTGTTAGAGGAATGAAATAAGTTAATACATAAATGGCATTCAGAACAGTTCCAGGCATATGCCGAATCCTCAGGAAATGTTAGTGATCATATTTTTTCCTATTTGTGTTTAAGGCTTTGGGCATCATTAGCATATAATACATTATGTGTTCTCAGTGTAGGGTTGTCTTGTCTTCCTCAGTTGGAGAATATGTTTCTTTCTCATTCCTTCAGGGTCAGGGCAAAGCTGGGTCCTGTCTGTGTTTGGTCAGTACTACCTGACGTGGCTCCTAGTGACTGTATGGTAGGTTTTTAGGAAGCCGAAGGACAAGGGGACAGTGAAACCATCTCTCCCAGTTTCTAGAACAGAGGATAACAGATGGCACTGGCTGAACCTGACCACCCAAAGCATCTGCTCCTTCCACTGAAGAGTCTCAGACCAATGACTTTTTAGAAGACGCCCAGCCCAGCCTCTTACTGTGTCCCATTTTGCCCTGGCACGTTCTTCCTCAAATTTAGCAAACTCTTTTCGGTCGTGGATAGTGATGAGGAGCTTCCAGATGAGCAGAGCAGCAAGGCCGATGAGCAGAATGGCCCCCATCACTGAGAGCAGGACAACTAGGATGTCAGGGCCCTTGGGACACTCTGTCAGGAAGAAGCACAGAGCAGGGTAATTGTGAATGAAGCAGGAGTCACTTGAACTGGCTGTGAATAAAGTGTTCTTGACAAAGTAATTAAAGTCCTTGATGGAAATAGGACAGTTTTCAAAAATTAATTTTTTAAACGGACAATCTTTAGGACAGCAATAATCTGTCCTGAGTGGCTCAAATCAGAAGCCTAGACCTGGTAATCTCTAGACAGAACCCAGCCATACCTTTGTGTGGGGGTTCACCCAAGTGTTTCTTTTAAAAATTAGACAGAAAGAAGGGAACAACAGACACTGGGACCTACTCGAAGGTAGAGGGTGGGAGGAGGGTGAGGATCAAAAAACTACCTATCAGGTACTATGCTTATTACCTGGGTGATGAAATAATATGTACACCAGACCCCATGACTCACAACTTATCTACAGAACAAACCCACACATGTACCTCTATAGCTAAAGAAACATTTTTTAAAAATTAAAAAATAAAAAGTTGGCTGGGTGCAGTATCTCACACCTGTAATCCCAGCACTTTGGGAGGCCAAAGTGGGCAGAGCACCTGAGGTCAGGAGTTCGAGACCAACCTGGCCAACATGGTAAAACTCTGTCTCTACTAAAACTACAAAAATTAGCCGGGTGTGGTGGCATAAACCTGTAATCCCAGCTACTTGAGAGGCAGAGGCACAAGAATCACTTGGACTTGGGAGGTGGAGGTTGCAGTGAGCCAAGATCGTGCCATTGCACTCTAGCGTGGGTAACAGACTAAAACTCCATCTCAAAAAAAGAAATAAAATAAAAAATAAAAATTGATTTTATTGGCAATACTGAATAATCAGGAGATTCTCCCCCTAAAATTTATATTATTCTCTTTAAAAAGAAAATCCAGGCCAGGCACAGTGGCTCACGCCTATAATGCCAGCATTTGGGAGGCTGAGGCAGGAGGATAATTTAAGTCTAGAAGTTCAAGACCAGCCTGGGCAACATAGTGAGACCCTGCTGCTACAATTTTTTTTACTTAGCCACACATGGTGGCATATGCCTGTAGTTCCAGCTACTCAGGAGGCTGAGGTGGGAGAATCGTTTGAGCCTAGGAGGTCAAGGCCTGGGAGTTCATGCCACTGCTCTCCAGCCTCGATGACAGAGGGAGACCCTATCTCAAAAAAAGGAAGAAAGAAGTGGGGGAAGGAAGACAGAAAGAGAGAGAGGGGGAGGTAGAGAGAAAAAAAAAGAAAAAGAAAAAGAAAGAAAGAAAGAAGGTAAGTCCAAAGAGCTAGAAACATTGGTACCTATATTCCTGCAGGGCAGCAGCTAGCTAGAGCTGAAGAGGAGCTGCTCCTTTTAGTTAGAATGCATGTTTTCTAGTTCACCAGAATCCCTACCACTCTCTCGTCTCTTTCCTAAAGGAAGGCAGTGTGACTTGGTGTGTCTGTGCTCCTGCGGACATTAGAGTGAGACTCCCTGGGTTTGAATCCTGACTTGTGACTTAACTTTGCTACATGATATTTGGAAAATTACTTAACCTTTCTGAATGTCTGTTTCCTGTTTCTCCATCTTTAAAATGAAGATAGTAATAGCACTGACTTCAAAAGAAACGTGTTATGAGGAATAATTAAATTAAATATATCCTAAAAACTCAGAACAATGCCTGGCACAGCAAAAGTGTTCAGTAAATATCAGCTACCATTGTAAGTGATCTTCTTATACCCAGCTGTTTTCACTAACTTATTTGCTTCCTTAGCCCCTGCAAGTATTTGTTTCTGTTATCCTGGTTCATATATTTACATTCCTGAAGGCTATGAACCTAATGACATTTTTTGCATTCTTAGAGACCAGGATCTGCCAGCCAAGACAATATTTTGAGTTCTTTCCCAAAATATTAGTCATCTAAAATCATAACCCTATTGAAAGCTGACTTCCTGTTCAACCCCAGTCAACAACTACCACAGAGGCATGTCATCCCTCTGGGGGTCAGACTGAGTATACTCTGCAGAGCTCTACTTCCCATAAATGTCAGGTATCTAATAGGTGATCTTACTCCAGTAACCTCAAGTGTTATGAAACCAGCTGTTTATATATGAGGGTGCTGATGAGCCTGGAGAGGAAGTCACACCCACTTTCCACACTGTCTCCCACCTTCCTCTCTAAACATACACCCAATGCTCACCACATACAACACAAAAACAACCACCACCACAACCCAAGCTGGCTGTCTCCCAACCTGCCAAATTACAACATGTCTATAATTAAATGAGTGCCTGGAGAGAAACTGTGAGGTTCCAGTGTCCAAGTTCCCAGGAGTGAAGGGCCCCAGTTCTTCTGGGAAAAACAATTATGGATTCTCTGGAAGACTTGGATAGGGCTGACCCTCAATTCTCAAAGTAAAATCTCTTCAATTCTACATATTAGTATGGGCAGGACAGGTAGGGTGCCAGAAGGTCTTCAGGGGAAAACAATTTGTTAACCATGTATCTGGAGAGGAGTTTGGGGCAGGCTTCCTAGAAGCAGAAGGCCAGATCAGGTGACCTCTGGAAGGTCTTTCCAGCCACAGCAGTAGACCAATGGCAAATGACCTAAGGTCAGAGAAGTCTGGGTAGGGTTGGCAGATTCAGCAAACAAAAATACAGGACGCTTGGCCAGGTGCAGTGGCTCACACCTGGAATCCCAGCACTTTGAGAGGCCAAGGTAGGCAGATCACTTGAAGTCAGAAGTTCAAGACCAGCCTGGCCAACATGGTAAAACCCAGTCTCTACTAAAAAATACAAAAATTAGCCAGGTGTGGTGGTGGGCACCTGTAATCCCAGCTACTCAGAAGACTGAGGCATGAGAACTGCTTGAACCCAGGAGGCAGAGATTGCAGTGAGCCAACATTGAACCACTGTAATCCAGCCTGGGTGACAGAGCAAGACTCTGTCTCAAAAAAAAACAGGAAGCCAAGACAAATTTGAATTTCGGATAAATAATTATTTTTTACTATAAGCGTGTACTAAATATTATATGGGACATAGTGTATTTTATTTGGCAACCACATCTGGGAGTGTTAAGAGCCCAGCTCAGGAGCTCATTCCATGTGGTTAAACTCCACTTGGCCAATGCCAAAACGTTTGGCAGTGCTGTCTTTACTGCTCTATCATAGATCAGCCCTTCAAAGAGAGCACCTGCAAGATCTTAAGTTGGGGAAGAGAAAAGAATGATCTCCCCCATTGTCTGAGACCACAGCTGCAACATTCTACTACAAGCCAGGAAATGATTAGAGCTGGGAGATGAGTGGGGAGGCAGAGCCTAGAATTCCAGGGCAACAACATAGGATACGTTGGCCGGGCACAATGACTCATACCTGTAATCCCAGTACTGTGGGGGTTGAGGCTGGGGGGTGGGGGGCAGTGATCACTGGCGCCTAGGAGTTTAAGACTAGCCTAGGCAACATAGTGAGACTTCATCTCTACAAAAAATAAAAATTAAAAAGTAGCCAGGTGTCGCTGTGTATGCCTGTAGTCCCAGGGAGGCTGAGATGGGAGGATTGTGTGAGCCCAAAAGGTTGAAGCTACAGTGAGCCAAGTTCACACCACTGCTCTCCAACCTGGATGACAAAATGAGACCCTATCTCAAAAAAACAATTGAAAACACAGGTCTATGGATCTGGGCTCCATTCTCCTAATGTGGAGGAAGGGGTGTAATGGCAGTAAATACTCAAAAATGTTTTCCAATAACTCATCTTAATCCATTGTTTAAGGGGAACAAAGGCCATAAAGGTGTTAAAGGGAAGCAAGCAATCAACAGCACTGGATGGTGACAAGCCTGTGGCTGGTGTGTTATGATGGGATGAATGCTTCCAGAAGGCACTGTCTTTTCAGTGTTCAGGGCAGCTTTGCATTAGTGCCTCAAACCCATCCCTACATCCTGCAGTAAACCTGGAAAGGTCAACACCTCCAACCATCAGGCCTTCCTCTGAAGCACAGTCAACCATCTCACTTTCAGTAGTGCAGATATTGTGTGCTGTAAAGTCCTAAAATTTAAATTCTTTACCTTTTGACATAATTGCCTAAAAAAAATACAATGATATATTTTGTCCATTGATGAAACCCATATCTATCTTCTTCTCTTTACCTGCTTTCTGGTTTTTCTGTCTCCTCAATTAACAAGTCACTTTCCTGATAATATTTGTGTTTATAAATACCCTTCACCAAGATGACAGTCCCTAACTTATCATTTGTTTGTTTGTTTGCTTGTTTCAGATGGAGTCTCACTCTGTCGCCCAGGTTGGAGTGCAGTGGTGCAATCTCAGCTCACTGCAACCTCTGCCTCCCGGGTTCAAATGAGTCCCCAGCCTCAGCCTCCTGCGGAGCTGGAATTACAGGCGTGTGCCACCACACCCAACTAATTTTTTTGTATTTTTAGTAGAGATGTCACGTTGGCCAGGCTGGTCTCTAACTTCTGACCTCAGGTGATCCACCCACCTTGGCCTCCCAAACTGCTGGGATTACAGGCATGAGCCACCACGCGTGGCCTCTAACTTATCACTTGCAGGCTTAACCTGTTTTGTTTAAGAGGCTCAATGAGTAGAAATTCCTGCCTAATATGATTCTCCCTCTCCCTCCTGGGGCAGGGCCAGGAGCCCTCAGGGTTCACTCACCTGGCTCTTCTACCACATACAGAATGGACTTTCCACTGGAGTCTTCATAGTACTGGAATCTGACAACACAGTCATCCTCATTCTTATAGGTACAATTCACTGCATCTTTGCCAGTGTCCTCTGGGTGTAGGGAAAATGGAGGAATAAAAAGTGAGTCAATTACTAGAAGATGGGGCTACTCCAAACCCCTATCATAGGACTTCTGGAAAAGTATGTGACAGGAAACCCTGTGCCTCCTGTGCACAATGCCTAGATTCAAGATGGCTGTTGTGTCTGGCAGTTGCCAGTCACTGACCCCCACTGATATATTTTGTGCTGCAAAAAGGGCCTTTTTTGGTTCTTACTCCTTCCTCTGAAAGAGACATGATATAACAGTATTACACAATTTAATTCAAATTCTGGCTTCACTACCTACCTATTGTGTGATCTTGAGTGAGTTACCTGACCTCATCAAGTCTTTCTTCATCTATAAAAAGAAAATGATACCCCCACCTCACAAGTTCAGTGAACTAAACAGCATAAAGTAAACAGTGCTAACAAATAGTTGATGGACCCTTCCCTCTCTTTCCTTTCACTGTTTGCTTAGTGATTCTCAATAGTTTGCTTATGCAGCTGTTCTATTTCTTCCATTTCTGTTTCTGATCCAATGTACTTCCCCAGAGCTATCCTCTATTCTCTGACTCTCACCATGTTTTGTAGACTTCATCTCTTCTAATTCTAAAACCTGTTATTCTGCCATGACACTAGGGGTTACCCTCCACCAGCTGCACTATGCCCCACACTGATGAAACCAGATGAGTGAAACCGACACATGCTGAAATTAAGCAAAGTTACCCAGGTCACACAGCAAATTAGTGATGAACAAGAACAAGAACAGGAGTCTCAACACACATCCTGCAGACCTGAACTCAACAACCCTTCAGAAAACCAGTGGAATTATAATACAGGGAAAAGAGCATGGATTTCAGGATCTACTTCTCATCTTAATTTGCCATTCCCTTGCTTGGGCCAGTTACTTAACTTTCCTGAGACTCAAAATGAAGATAATAATAGTGCTCTAGTTCTACTTCACTAGGCTGATGACAGAATAAGATAATGTATATGAAAGATACCTTATAACTTTTAAAGTTGCAAAATTCCACACAAATAAGCATTTATTTTAATATGCTGATTTCCATACTATTTTCCCCATACTATAATACCACTGGTAGAGGGAAGGTGGAGGTAGAGAACTACTTATCAATTAACTTGTAATACCCACCTAGTCTAGATGATAAAAATAACTCAACATCTCAGCAGCCTCTCCTCTCTGAGAAAACCATAGCAAGCCTAATCTCCTCCAGAGGAAAAACTGGATCCCCAAATCACTAACCTCACCCCAGCCCTACTTTTGATATTAGCCAAAGGCCCAGAGATCTGACTCTTTTCCGTAACACCCCCACCAGGAAGCTGACTGGCTGGCTGTGTATTACTGTGGCTCTCTCTGAAATGTGTTTCCACCTTCATGGGAGATGGCTATCTGTGGAGAGATTGCCATCTCCCTAGTACTACCCAATGCCTCAGTGACCCATATCAGATGTGACGACAGCAGCAAAGATCATCTCTCCTTTTAAGTTAAGGTGAAGTACAGAGAACACTTCAAGAATAATTTCAGGCAAGATTTTTTTTTCTCCCCACTGTTTGTATTTCTGTCTGACTTATTTCAAAAGGGGACGAAAGGGCTTCAGATTAAGATTTTGGATACCTATCCATAAGTTTGAAGGTTTCCCTCCAAACCTACAAAGCTTTAAGCAAAATCCTGGGCACTGCATAACACTTTTAGAAGTACACTTGGTAAACGCTTACTAGCCTACTAAGCTAAGATGATGACCATCACAGGCAACCACTTCTCAGCTCTCTGCCTCAGTTTTTTCATCTGTAAAATGGGATACATTCCCTTCCGTTCCTTAGGAAGGCACTTGCTCCCTTTCCTCTGCAGGCTCTTGCTGAGTCTTTGGGCTCTGGGAAGCAGAAGTGGTGGGTAGCTGCACACATTAGGAAGAGAGCAGGCCGACTCTCAGAGACACCAGCTCACATCAAGTGTCCACTGTGCATCAAGCCTGCACAGCATTCCCTGAGGTATGAGTCACTCTTCCATTTTACAGATGGGAATTGGAGAGGTTCTGAGATTGAATCAGAAACATTTAGAATCTGGATGTGTGCAACTCCAGATGTGCTGAACTTACTAAGCTCTTTCACTGACTCAATTTCATCACGGCAGTAACGGTTGCAGGTATTTTCCTCATGTAATGCTCCCCGGTCAAACTTCTTACACTCCACACATTCTCTGAAGAAGAGAGGACGCAGTGATTAAGGCAAAGGAGAAGCAAGCCTAAGTGTGTCCCAGTCCAGCTCCGATCTCCATGCATTCAGAAAGCTGCTCCACCTCCAGTAAAACACACTCATAAACACACACACACACACACACACACACACACACCCCTCCCTATAAGACAATCCTGGGGACCTGAATAGCAAGTGTAGAGCTCAGGGGTGGAAGTGTCCCCCTCACCCATAGGCAGCACCTGGCAGCCAGAGGCCTCCCAGGTCCTTCATTAAACTTCCCATCCCATCCAGGAAATCCTATGCCACTTCTGAGAACTATAAAGTCAGAACCAGTCATGTCATTTGGAGGCCCAGTGCTAAATGAAAATGTCAGGTCCCTTGTTTAAAGATCACTAAAAATATCAAGACAGTGATGGCAGAGCATTGAAACAAGCATGAGACTTTCTAGGCACAGGGCCCTGTACAGCTGTGGAGGTTGCACACTCGTAAATCTGGTCCTGCTTAAAGTGGTAAGCACAACGGCAGTGACATGGACATGGGCTGACGGGCTTCCTCTGGCCCCTAATGCAAGAGGTTTGTGATGGTTTCATAGAGTGTCCTCCAAAATTCCAGCCCTCACATCTCCCACTGAATCAGAACATTAGCACTGGAATGTTCCTCAGACTGGTTTAGCATTCCTCCCAACTCCCAGGGATTCAGGATGTTACCCTAGGAGAGGACATTCTCCAATCGAAGTCCAGCTCGTTCGACTTTGGCCCCTTCACAGTCGGCTCTGTTCCAACTTACCCAAAGCCTTGCGGAAAAAGGAGAGGTAGCCATCCGGCTGGAGTGGATTCCTCTCCCTGAGGCTCTGGTGAGCAAGAAACAGACCTGGAGAGCTGGGGATTCTAGTCAGGGGATTCTCTCCTACCTCCCAGCCTCCTGGCTCTCTCCAAACTGCACACTCACTTTTTAAAGGTGCAGGCATCTGGGCAGGTGGGGCACTTCTCACAGGTGTCCCCATAGGAGCCCGGCTGGATACAGACACAGCTGCCACATTCACACTTGCCACGGCCGCTGCACAGCAGCCCATTGCTGGACATGCAGGTGTCGGTGCGTGTGGTACAGTTGCAGTAGTAGCCGGTCCAGTCAGAGTCACACAGGCAGTCCCCACAGCTGCACTGGCCATGGCCTGAAAACACACAGCCCAGGAGGGTGGACCAGCTGGCGAGAGCTCCATCCCCTTGGCAGCAGGCTGCACACAACCACCCTGCTCTCCCAACCGCACAGATAACGATCCACCAGGTTGGCAGGAAATTGACTCACTACCCGGGGGAGTCCTACCCAGTGGGGACAAACTCAATTTTCTAAGTGTCCCAAGGTCTGGCAAGACTTGTTCAGAGTCACTGTAGAGCAAGAGATTCTCAGGAACCAAGTCTCTAGATCTCCTACCGTCTCTCTTGCTCTATTCTGAATACCTCCACCTTCTGAGAAAGGCAAGAGAAAGGGTAGGAGTCTAAAGACTAGAAGCAAGCTCTTTAGCCCTGAGGGCTGACACAGCACAAAGCCACATCCCTGAGCCTACACAGGGCACTCAGTAGCCTTGACAGTGTGACCCGATGATGGCAAAAGGCCTCCCAGGCCCCATACTCTCTCCCTTTGACCTGACACAGGGCTGCTCGCCTCTCCTACCTGATCTGAGAGACCTACCATTGTCATCCTGGCCACCTAGTTGGGTTAGACAACATAGGGTACAGTTTGGAAGAGCACGTCCCGTCCCACTAACAAAGCAGCCACCACTTCCATTATCCCGTTTCTCAAAGCAGCTGGGTGTCACCTTGCAGGGTGAGAAGGAGGGTTCTGAGGGCGCCTGCACAAGACAGGAAAATTGTAACATAGGGAAAGAAGGAAAGGAGAGATCCAGGGTACAGGGCTATTCCAAATGCAGAGAGGGAAGTTGCAGACAGAGCACCCTGAATGCCTGAGTAGATGGGGCAGGGCATCCAGGGGGCAGAGGGATGGCACCGAGAGCCCATGGAGTTGGCCAATGGAGCCAAGTAAGCACAGAGAACAAATATACCCTAACTCCCAGACTGCCGAGGGCCAGTGCAGTTAAACAAATCCCATGAATGCCATAGAGAAAAGAAGTTAGAAAATAAAAGACATTAAATGAACAAAAGAGAGATTTTTCTAAGGTGAACAGCAGTAGAGACAATCGCTAGTAATGGCTTCATGTAGCCTGATGGCCTCCACCATGCCACTAATGACTTGTCCTGGTTCCTGCCTCTGCACTCAACAGTTGCAGAAACGTTTACCACCATCAAACATTTTTAATTAATTAATTAAGTCTTTTTAAGTTACAGGTGCAGTTCAAGTTAACCAATACAATCTGTCTTTCTTGTCCTGGTTCTCTTCTCAATCTGACCTCATCATATCATATCTGGGAGTCTCATCATATATCTGGGAGTATAGTGGAACAGACTTGGAAAGCATTTAGAGAAGAGAATGTGTATCTATTTTCCAAACCAACCAAGGAGGCATTTAATGTGTGTCAAGCACTGTACCAAGTTCTTTTTCTTTTTATTTCTTTTATTTACTTTTTTTTGAGTCTCATCCTATCACTCAGTCTACAGAGCAGTGGTGCAATCATCACTCAGAGTAACCTCAAACTCCTGGGCTCAAGTGATCCTCCTACCTCACCTCAGCCTCCCGAGTAGTTAGGACTACAGGCATGTGCCACTGTACCTGGCTAACTATTTTTGTTTTTGTACAGATGGGGGTCTTGTTATATTGCCTAGGCTTGTGCCAAGTTCTTTTTTTTTTTTTAAGAGTCTCAATCAGTCACCCAGGCTGGAGTACAGTAGCACCATCTTGGCTCACTGAAACCTCCGCCTCCCAGGTTCTTCTCCTGCCTCAGCCTCCCAAGTAGGCATGCGCCACCATGCCCGGCTAATTTTTGTATTTTTAGTAGATATGGGAGCTCACCATGTTGGCCAGGCTGGTCTTGAACTCCTGACCTCAGGTGATCCACGTGCCTTGCCCTCCCAAAGTTCTGGGATTATAGATGTGAATCACAGTGCCCAGCCACAAATTCTTTAGTATGTTATCCTTTTCATTTCTTATAACAACCCTGTGAGGTCAGAGAGGTTAAGTAACTTTCCCAAGGCCATATGGCTTGTAAATGGCAGGGTCAGGACTCAAACTGAAGTCACTGTGACTTCAGATCCCAAGTGCTTAGCGTCTATGCAGTGTTGTAAGCAATGCTTTTCCCTATTTATATGAAAATGGTCTTTCCAGAAAATGTCTCTAACTTACAGAGAAAATGGCATTAACCAGTAGAAGATGGAGCCAGTTTTAATGGAATATTCTTCCAATTGACCAGTGGAAGAAGAAAAGAGACCAAAGTAGTAAGAAAGAAGTTATGGAAAGTCCAGTAACTAGGCTTGATCTCAATGAGAAATTTCAAGGAGGGAACATTTCAGGAGTCAAATGAACTGAACTATTTAAGTGAAGGGCAAATGGGCCTCACTGGAGACATTTCCATGCCCTTCCCCAGCCTGGTCCTGTGTCCAGACAATGAAGCCATCTCCCCTTCTCCAGATTATCGTCAATTCCTCTGTGGCCAGGATTCTCTTTGCACAATGTGGTTTCTCAACCTTGGTACTTTTCAGTATTTGGGGCCAGATAATTTTTTGTTGTGGAGGGCTATCCTGTACATTAGGATGTTTAGCAGCATCCTTGAACTCCACCACTAGATATTTGTAGCACCTTCCCAGTTGTAACAATCAAAAACATCACCAGACATTACCAATGCAGAGAGGGAAGACAAAATAGCTCCTTCCTCCCAGTTGAGAACCACTGTTTTAAAGTCAACTTGATCATGCCACTCACCTGCCTAAAAACCTTCAAAGCCCAGGCATGATGCCTCACATCTGTAATCTCAATACTTTAGGAGGCCGAGGTGGGTAGATCACTTGAGCCCAGGAGTTCAAAACCAGCTGGGCAACATAGCAAGATCCCATCTCTACAAATTTTTTTTAAATTATCCAGGCATGATGGCAAGAGTCTGTAGTCCTAACTACTTGGGAGGCTAAGGCAGAAGGATTACTTGAGCCCAGGAGTTCAAGACCACCCTGGGCAACATAGTGAGATCCCACCTCTACAAAATTTTTAAAAATTAGCTGGGCATGGTGGCAAGTGCCTGTATTCCCAGCTACTTGGGAGGCTAAGGCAGAAGGATCGCTTGAGCCCAGGAGTTCAAGGCTGCCCTGAGCCATGATCATGCCAGTGCACTATGGTGTGGGCATTGAAAGAAATGTCTGCTTCCCAGGAAGGATGGGGAACATAACCCAAGCTGCCCCAGCTGCTAAGTGTATCTGGAAAGTAGTGATGTTGGGCTGGTAGAAGGGTGGGGAAGGCAGAAAGGCTGTGTCCCGAGGCTAGGTTCCCTAGAAGTCTGGCTTGGTAGAGGATCTTGTTCAAGGGACTCACTGAGGAAGTAAAGAGGAGGGAGGGAAACAGGACAGGGCAAGAGGCAGAGCTGGCAGAAATGTGGTCTCAGCCAGACACCCTCCAGCCTGATCCCTCATGAATGGCACCACAAAGCCAGACCTATCCTGAGGCAAAGAGTCTGGCCTTGAGTAACCCCTTGTCCATTAGTCATTGGCCAACATCTGGGAGCAAGGCAGCTCCTGTCAGCCGAGGGCAGTTCTCCACGGAAGTGGCAGCTGTGAGCTGCTATTGGCCAACCTCACAGCAGCTGGGGGAGGAGTGCACCAGCCAGCAGAGCCAGGCACCCTCCGCCTTTCACTACACCCTGCATTTGGCCACGACTCCTGGGTAGGAAAGACTGACACCACAGGGGCCTGGCAGCACTCAGAGACCTCCACCTCCTCAGAAACCCTTGTCCCATAGTGTTTCCTTTGTGAGGCTAAACAAAGCGATCTTTGACAAGATGGGCCAGCCAGGGCGTAAGGTTGGGAGTGGAAGTGGCAGGTCAGAGCCGTCAGGCTGACCCCAAGCCTTGGCAGGGTCAGCCCTTAAAAGGAAGCCACAGTGTGGTAATGTCACAGAACTGGCGCCCCTCCTGCAAAAGGGAGACTGCGCCTGGGTTCATAGGAAAGTCAGAGGAGTGGAGTAAGAAATGAAACAGTGGAAGAGGAGAAAGGGAGGGGGCTGGAAGAGCGAGGCAGAACAGGTGCTTAAGGTCTTTGGGAACAAGAGCCCTCTCCCTATACAGCTAGACCTTCTGAGCTAATGCTCGTTCCACTCCTCTCTGTCCTGAGCCTGCCCTTCCTGAGATCCATCAGACATCTTACTTCCTCCATGAAGCCACCCAGGCCTGCCTTGTCCCCAGTCAGTCTTGCTCCAGAGGACTCCCATTACACTCCCTGAGTACCCCACACTTCCAGGATCTGTCAGATTCAGCCTGATGTTGGGAATCATCTTTGGTTAACTGTCTTATTCATGCCTCTCTATCCTACTCCATGACAGCACAGAATCTGGCTCACAGAGGGTACCTGACTGATCTGTGGCTGTGGATGTGGCAAGCGGAAAACTCTCTTGAGGATGATGCACTCCTTGATGTTTTAGGCAGGAATGTCGATAAGAAACAACTACAAAGACCAGGCCCAAAGTAGAGAGGGGACAAGAGGGATGGCCAGGAAACTACCCATCATGCTTACAGGCCAGGGGCTAGGGAAATGGCCGAGTCACAGCACATCTGCCTCCTGAGCCCCTGCTTGTGTCAAAGAATGGACCATAGAGCCAGCAGCTCTGGCAAGGGCCAATGGTGAGCAGGGCTGTAAGCTCAGAGAGGTCAGGGATCATGCATGACCCCTGGTTCACTCATATGGACCAAATGATGGCACAGAGCAGGTGCTCAATGATGTGTGCCTCTGAGTATCTGTCACTGGAGGAAGTAATGATGGCACCACGGGGTCTAGATCTGACGCTAGGTGGGCACCTGACACCCTAGCAAGACATCTTGTGGTTCTCTCATGGATCAGACTGGAATGCACTGAGGATGAGCTGTTCTTGCATGGTGAGAGGCAGGAACCAGGGCTTCTGACCCAGTCAGCTTTGTTTTGTGGCTTTAGTGGGGCAGCAGCCAAAGGAAACATGCCCTGGCTGGGATCCTCCCACAGTGCCTCACACCAGACCAGGAACCATCAGGCCATGGAAGAGGACTGGCGGTGCCCCCACAGGCCATCGTAGTCCTCTCCTCGGACCACCCTCTCTCCCTCAGTCCGCAACCTTCTTCCCATGGGTATCCCACTTCAAACTTACCCATTTCCTTTGGTACTTTGAATTAGTGTAAATACTGTCAAATAATAAAATAAAGTGAAACTCCTGCCTCACCCCCAATCCAAATGGTTGTTGTTTGTGTGATTTCATCTGTGTGTATCTGATCTCTCACTCTCCCCTACTCTATTTTCCAGGTCTCTTGTGATTAAAAAGATAAACTCATGTAAATTATTACTAACCTTACTACATACTCTGACATGTGTTTTCTAAATCTATAAATAATAAAAATTTAATTATCATCTATCAGTAATTTTTTTTAAAACCTGAAAAGGGGATTGGTCCTTAAACTCAAAAAGATTAGGAACCGCTAATTTACACCTCTGCCCACAAAGGCCCATCTCAGGCCCTCACCTATGTTTCCACAGGCTGCAGGTGTGTGTAGGGGGGTGTGGGTTCCAGGAGAGGGGGCTTTGCAGTTCTCACCTGAGCACATCTCCCCCTTGTAGCGGACACAGGAGAAGTCATCACACTCGCAGTACTTGCCCGTGATCTTGCCAAAGTCACTGCTGTGACAGACACATTGACCACAGAGGCACTCGCCCCGCTGGCTACAGATAGGCTGGCCCTCCCGGAGGCTGCACTCATCTTGCTGGGAAGGGCGATAGTCTTCCTCTGAGCACTCACACTGGGACCCCAGCCAGCCAGGCCCGCAACGACACACCCCACACTCAAAAGTCCCATTGCCATTGTTGCAGCGACGGCTATTAGGTTCAGCTTGGGCCTGGCAGGCACAGTCGCAATCAAAAGTGACCTGGACGACCAGGCTGTCCTTGAAGCCCACAGGCTTGATGGTAAAGGACTTCTCCTTCTCCTGGGGGCAGCCTCGCACTTTGGCCTCAATGCTGAAGCTCACCTGGATGGAAAGCAAGATTGCATTTAGACACAGGTGGGCCAAGTTAACGCTCCAGCTCTAGATGAAAAACAGTTGTTCCCTGCCCTGCCAAGGAATACTCAGATTGGGTGTCTTATGCTTCTGCAATCTGGAGTTCCTCAGCCTTCCCTCTACCAAGGTCTGCAAAGCAAAAACACGAGCATGGGAATAGTATTGTTGTGACATATCTTGCTGGCTGCAAGACATGGTTTACAGTCAGTAAATAACAGAAGGCTGTTTCTTTACTCCATGTGAGATAGACAAGCTCAAACGAACAGAACCTGTGATCATATGAACACCCTGCTCTGGCCAACTAAGCAAGCTGGACTGATTATAATTATCAGCAAGATGCACAAGGCACTGTTTTGCACCACACAATGCCACATGATGGTCAACCATAAGCTCAAGAATCTACTTCCAGTTCCATACATTTCACAGCTGTGCAATCAGGCATGTTTCAGAACAACATTTCTAATGGGGGATGTTTGTAAAAGAGCCTGAGAGACAGATATATCAATAGAAAGGATCAGTGGATCCAAAGAGCTATTTTCTTCCCCTCGTCCCTCGCCTCCCACCAACCTCTTTCCCCTTAGGCAGAAGCAGAGGAGAAATGACCAACAAAGAAAGTCATGGAGGGACTGGAGTGGTGAAATGAACATCCAAATTCAGAAATTCCATTAGGGTAGGTATTTTTGCCTGTTCCATTTGCTGTTAAATCCTCAGCAGCTAGAACAATGCCTGACACAGTGTCAGTGCTCAATAAATATTTATAGGTGATGCTGTCATTTTACATTTTAGATTTTACTTTCTTGTGTCATTTTGCAAAAGGAAGGCATTAATTACCTTAGGAAGGCTGGAGGCTGGTGAGGAACTAAAGGTAAATAAATATTTTCCTTTGTGATCAACTGTGTATATACAAACAAAGGTAACCAAATTATAAGTTTTTAAAATTCCTGATAGTGAAGGTCACGTAACAGAAATGGCTTATGCACAGAAGGCTCAGAGGAAAAGATTGGTGGATTCATTACATCTAAGTTGGAATGACTTTCAGGAAAGGTATTTTTTCCTGCCCATATTTTTTTTTTCTGGTGGAAGGAGGCCATTTTAAGTCATTGCAAAGGGAAGAAAGTGGGGTTCGGTGCCCATAGATGCTCCAGGACAAAGGCCCTGCCCAGTCCACCTCACCGTGTCTCCAATCTTGAGTCCCATACAAGACTTGAGGCCAGGGATGACCTCATTGTTGAGGCAGGTGGCGTTGAAGGATAGAGACAACTCATCAGGAAGGTCACGTACTTCCAGCTCTACTTTAGAGCGAATTTTCTGAACAGAAAGGGGCACAAGAAGACAAGAAAATGAGGAAATGGGAAATGGAAAGAGCCAATTCCATCCCAAGCAAAATCTGCCAAGTAGCTCTGGACTCACCCCAGCAGTGCCAGAGGCCAAGATTTGCCCTGGAAGCTGCCGGAGCACCCCTAGGATGCTGTTTCCTGCCCAGGAACCTGCTCCCTCTTTCTGTCTCCACTCCCATCTAGGTGAGTCTGGGAAAAACAGACCAGCTACACCCTCCCGCAGGCCTCACAGACATTGCAAAAGGGAGTGCCAATACTGGTCACCTCAGAAAGTGGCATTTTCTACCTAATGTTTCATCAACCTCACATTTCCCATGTCTCAGCTCTCTCTTTTCCCTGTTACTGGAGCCCAGCTTTCCCTCGCTCTGCCCCCACAATCCAGGAGCTCTGCTCCTTCTCCATCTAATCCCCATCCCCATCCCCTTTCTTTCTTTCTGGGCGACTTCCTTCTCAGAAGGCTGCATCCCTCCCAGAGCGGGCCATTGCCTGGCCTCTAGGAGCACATGGAGAAGGCAGTGAGACCTTCATAGGTGGTAGGCTGGCAGCTGGGACTCACAAATCTGAGTCCTGGTGTGAAAGCCAAATGAGGTGGACTCTCAGCAGGATTATTCCCAGCACATGATACTTACCCCATAAGCATCAACAATGAGCTGGAGGACATTGCTGGAATCCATGGACAGAACCCCAACTGTGGTCCCTGGGATGAGCTCACTATAGTTCTAGAAAGGAAGACAAAGATGTCCAGAGCTTACTGAAGGAAGGTGGTCATCTCCAAAAGCCCTCCCCAAATCAGACTGAGAGTCCTGAGATGAAGATTGGAGGAAGGTATGGGATATTTCAATTGCCACTGCCAGGAATAGATCTGGCAGTTTTTCAGCCCTGAGCAAAAGTATAGGAAACCTCTTGCAGTCCTCACCCCACTGAATTACCTCCCCTCCAGCACCCCAAACACCAACACACACCTCGTAAGGTCAAGTTTGCAGAAAAAAGGCCTAGAGTGCAACCTTCAGCTCCCGAAGAGTGGATTAGAGGAGAGTCTTTTCCTGGTTGGGGATTATGGCCAATGCGAGCATAGGCTAGCTACCTGGGGCTCCCACCATCACAGGGCCCACTCCAGGAATCCTGAAGGCACAGTCACCTGATAGAGATTGACTACATTTTCAGTCACTGCAAAGATCAAATTGATGTTTTTCTGGGATAGCTTCTCAGTCATCAGCCCCAAAGAGGGATAATCCTGGGAAAATGAAGTTGGAGAGGTTAATGAAGTCTCATGTACATCCCTAAGATCTAAACCTTAGAACCGAGCTTGCTTGGGCTGTGGCTCAGATAGTGGTGGCACTTAAACCTTTTCACTCCATGGTGTAAGTGAGACAAGAGTCTGGACAACATAGCAAGATTGCCTTACTACACTCCAGCTGTGCAACAGAGCAAGACTCTGTCTCAAAAAAAAGCGGGGGTGGTTCTTGCTTTGTCGCTCAGGCTGGAGTGCAGTGGCAAGATCACAGCTCACTGCAGCCTCAGTGGCAAAAAAAATTTTTTTGATTTACCAGATGTGGTGGTACCTACTTGGTACCTGTAGTCCTACCTACTTGGGAGGCTGAGGCAGGAGAATCGCTTCAGCCCAGGAGTTGGAGGTTACAGTGAGCTATGATTGCACCACTGCACTCCAGCCTGGGCAGCAGAACAAGACCCTGTCTCTTAAAAAAAGTGGGGGACAATGAGACAAGAAGGTTAAGTAGCACAGAAACCTACTTGTGAACTCCAGGGATAGATGAAGAGGTGCAGGCTGGTGGTGTCAAAAGTATGCACCTCTTTCTTCCCGCTTGAATGTAATGCACTAATACTATGGAGCTTGCTTCCCTGCACCAGGCACTGGGTTAGGGCTCTTTGTTTTGAAACTACCCACAGATGCCTTGGCCTGGACCTTGTGGTCCTCCACCAAGCGGTCATTCTTTCCACTCACCTCTCTCCTTCTTCCACTAAGCAGTGATCTGGCCCACTGTCTCCCACCTGGAGTGGCCTTCTTGCTGGTAATCCTCCTCCTTTCTTAGGGCCCAGCTGAGGCTCCACCTTCTTCAGGAGGCCTCCTTGGCCATTGCAGTGCATGACAAGCTTTCCTCCCTTGGATACGTATAGCCCACATTGACTGTGCTGCACCCATTTAGCACTAATCATGCATCTTGTGTTGTTAGTAAACATATATATCCTCTCTCCTCAACTAGACCAGAAAGATGGTCTTGTTACCGCCCTCAGGCCCTGGCCCAATGCCTTGCATAGATTAGGTATCAAAGGTTGCTGACTCACTGTCTGGCAGTGCTTGACTTGGATATGACTGATGCCAAGGAACTCAAGGACACTGGGGGTGGTGGTGGTGAATGGTGAACACGTCCATGGGCTCCTAGACCTTGCAGGGAGCTCATTAGATCCTCAGCTCAGTCTCTTGCCTTTACACAAGTATACCTTTAAGCCACCTAGATGAGGAGGTCCCTGTATTGTCCTTAGGAGACAGAGTTCACACCTGCCCCCGATATCTAGAGTATCACAGCACATTTTTCTTATGGCTTATAGCAACTTCTCCTGATTCCACTTAAATATTTTCCTCTTGTTTAACCTTCTATGGCCATATAAAACAACTTATAAGAAGTCTTCTCATGTATAAGCTAAATCATCCTTTAGCCTTCTTTCTTTTAAACTAAGACTCTGGGCAACAAAAGCCAAAATAGACAAATGGGACCTAATGAAACTCCACAGCTTCTGCACGGCAAAAGAAACAGTCACTAGAGTGAATCGGCAACCAACAGAATGGGAAAAAATTTTTGCAGTTTACCCATCTGACAAAGGGCTGATACCCAGAATTTACGAAGAACTCAAACAGATTTACAGGAAAAAAACAAACAAGCCCATTCAAAAGTGGGCAAAGGATATGAACAGACACTTTACGAAAGAAGACATATATGAGGCCAACAATCATATGAAAAAATGCTCATCGTCACTGGTCATCAGAGAGATGCAAATCAAAACCATATTGAGATACCATCTCACGCCAGTTAGAATGGCGATCATTAAAAAATCTGGAGACAACAGATGCTGGAGAGGATGTGGAGAAAAAGGAACACTTTTACACTGTTGGTGGGAGTGTAAATTGTTCAACCACTGTGGAAGACAGTGTGGCGATTCCTCAAGGCCTTAGAAATAGAAATTCCATTTGACCCAGCAATCCCATCACTGGGTATATATCCAAAGGACTATAAATCGTTCTACTATAAGGACACATGTACACGAATGTTCATTGTAGCACTGTTTACAATAGCAAAGACCTGGAATCAACCCAAATGCCCATTGATAATAGACTGGATTGGAAAAATGTGGCACATATACACCATGGAATATTATGCAGCAATCAGAAATGATGAGTTTGTGTCGTTTGTAGGGACATGGATGAATCTGGAGAACATCATCCTCAGCAAACTGACACAAGAACAGAAAATGAAACACCGCGTATTCTCACTCATAGGCAGGTGATGAAAAATGAGAACACATGGACACAGGGAGGGGAGTACTAAACACTGGGGTCTATTGGGGGGAAAAGGGGAGGGCCGGTGGGAGGGGGAGGTGGGGAGGGATAGCCTGGGGAGAAATGCCAAATGTGGGTGAAGGGGAGAAAGGAAGCAAAACACACTGCCATGTGTGTACCTATGCAACTGTCTTGCATGTTCTGCTCATGTACCCCAAAACCTAAAATGTAATAAAAAATAAATAAATAAAATAAATAAATAAATAAACTAAGACTCTGAGCCCTTTACTCTTTCCTCATAGGACCAGTTCACTATGCCTTTGATGATCTTTCCCCTCTCTCTGTCTCTCCCAAAGAAGAAGTCTCCACTAGTAGCAACGGCTCACACCTATAATCCCAGCACTTTGGGAGGCTAAGGCAGGTAGATTGAGTCAAGGAGTTCAAGACCAGCCTGGGCAACATAGCAAGACCCTGTTTCTAGAAATTAGCCAGGCATGGTAGTCTATGTCTGTGGTCCCAGCTACTTAGGAGACTGAGATGGCAAAGGCTTCAGTGAGCCAAGGTTGCACTACTGCACTCCAGCTGGAAAAAAAAAAATGTGTGGGTGATTCTTGCTCCATCACTCAGGCTGGAGTGCAGTAGCAAGATCATAGCTCACTGCAGCCTCAGACTACTGGGCTCAAGAGATCTTTCTGCTTCAGCCCCACAAGTAGTTGAGACCACAGGCACAAGCCACCACACCCAGCAAATCTTTGCATTTTTTTTTGTAGAGACAGGGTCTCACTATATTGCCCAAGCTGGTTTCAAACTCCTGGATTCAAGTGATCCTCCCACCTCAGTGGGATTACAGGCATGAGCCACCGTATGCCTGGTCAATCTTCCTCTTTTTTTTCCTCTATCTTCTTCTAATAACCACAAGTTAGTATTGTATTCCAAGAAAGAGCTAATCAGGTTGGAGAGGAAGACCTGCTTTCCAGCTGGGTTGTAAAAATTCTTTAGGTCCATTCTGGATCCCATGACGCTGCTACTATGCTGATGACAGTGAAGGCAGTAATAACACCACAGTCAGGGACATCTCTAATGGTTATACAGGTTATGCGCTGGATGACAGTGTCCAGTTGGTAAGGGATAGGGACAAGTTGAAACCAAGCCCTACATCCTGCCCAGAGCAGGGGCTGCCATTTTCATATATTCACACAGACTCTGTCTGGGTTAGGGCAACCCTCACCAGCATGAATAGAAACCATAGGTGGTGCCAGAGATCTCACCATGGTAGTGGAGGCAGAATAATGATTGTCACTACCAACATGACACTGCCCATCATTGGGCTGGACAATGCCTGCCAGCCTTCCATCCAGTGCTATGTGAGTCTTGGCGTCAGTGGTAAACACCAGCAAGTGGGATGCATCATTCCTCCAGCCAATCTTTTCCTGTTAAAAGAAAACAAAAAACAAAGGCAGAGAAGATAAAGCAAATTCAGCCATGTCACTGGTAGAGGGCAGCGACCCAAGGCACTCCCTGGCTAAAGGGCTGGACAACTTATTTTGAAGAAGGGTCTCAGTCCCAGTCCTTGGAACCAAAGCTAGAGCTTTCCAATTCAGGGGTTTCATTCTCTTCAGAAAACAATCTTGTAGCTAATTAGTTCAGGCAGCTGAGTAAGACCTTCTTAAACTCCAGACTTAACTCTACTAATGACAGTCACATTGCCCATCTAGAAACTGACCTGCATCCACAGAGCTGTTCTGGGCTAGAAGAAATCTCATCTGAACATCTGCCTACTTTGCTGAGGCTAAGTTAACCCAGCCTTAACTCTGCAGTAATTCTGAAGATGCGAAGATGCTCTCCCCCGGAAACAGCTGAGATCACTGAGGTTCAAAGAAATGTTAGCTTGGGCCAGGGAGTGGCTCAAAGCCAAGGCTGAATATCAGGAGCAACTTACTACTCATACTGCATGAAGTTCTGCTTATGTCTCATTTCATTTCACACCAGAAATCCCCAGAGTTCAGCCACTTCCTTCCCCATTTTGATCTATGCCAACCACACCTGGCACTCCAAGTCCTCCAAACTTACATCACAGACTGTAGCCTGCATGATGGCATCAAAGCCACCCTCTGGGGCATCTCGGTTCCGTGACACACTCTGCTTCCTCACTTCCTCATTGAAGCGGGTCACCTGGTCAGTTAGCGTTAGCACGTGTTTGTAGCCAAACATGGGCAAACAGGTGGTCTTCATACTGGGGAGGGATGGGAGACAGTTTAAGTAGACACCTTGATGGAAAAGGCAACATGGGAATTGGGAGGAAAGAGAAGGGACAAATATAGATAGTGGTATATGCCCAGGCCAGTTCCATACAACCACAGTTACCCAGACAGTCCAGACTCCAAAATCCTCAAATTACCTCAAACTCCCCATCAACCTTACCCCCATCCAGCTAGCCTAGAGGATAAGAGAGTGAGCTGGAAACCAGACTCCCTGGGCTTAGATCCCAGCTTCCCTCTTTACTAGTCGTGAGACCTTCGGCAAGTCTCTCAACCCAACGTATGAAGTGGGGCCAGGATAGCACATATCTCATAAGAGTTGCCATGAGACTTGAGCAAATTCATACACACGAAGCACTTAGACCACAGCGAGGCTTGAGGTGCTGTTACTATTGCCTTATACTTAACACTTTTCTAAAGTAACAATAAAGCAAAAGTCCATTAGTAAGTTAAGGTCCCTAAACCATCAATAAATTGATAGGTCATGCAAGACAGGAGCATTTCTGCCCCCAGCCAAAATAGTGTGTGTAATTAATAGCTGGCGTCTTTCCTGGGAACCTTACAACCCAGATAGAGGGTTGAATGCCACATCATATGACTTCAAAAACTTTTTTTTTTTTTGAGACACTTGCGCTCTGTTGCCCAGCTTGGAATGCAGTAGCACAATCATGGCTCATTGCAGCCTGTCTCCCAGGCCAAGAAATCCTCCCACCTCAGCTTTACTGTAGTTCTGGTGACTGCAGGCATGTGCCATCACACACAGCTAATTTTTTTGTATTTTTTGTAGAGATAGGGCTCTCACTATGTTGCCTAGACTGAACTCAAACTCCTGGGATCAAGTGATCCTCCTGCCTTGGCCTCCCAAAGTGCTGGGATTACAGAAGTCAGCCACCCCACCTGGCCATAACTTTGAAAACTAAAAAGTAAATTCACACCTTTTCAGGCTCAGCAACCAGCATTGTAAGTCATTATAACACACAGATTTGCACACTCTCCACTGATCAAATAAATAAGCCATTCGCTTTTAAGCCAAAGTGTCAAACAGAGGTACAAGTTATTTACAGACTATAAAAGGGTTCAACAAATGTAATTTCCACTCTTTTATATTTCTCTAGCACTTGATTTCTTCTATTTTTACCCTGCAGGATGCATGGCCTTGATGAAGACCATAATGCCAGCAATAGCATTATCGTAATTTCTGTAATCATAATTTCTCAGTTTACTTACCCATAAATTCCTTTCTACTTTTGACCTCATTTCCTTCTCACTTTCTCTTGCCTCCTATTTATTTGTTACCAGGACTAAGAAGCTGATGAATTTTCTTTTCAGGTTCTCCAAACAGCCTTAGGTTCTATTGACATCACACTCCAGATCCACAAGCTAGCCCATTTGCCAGACAGGGAGACCAAGGTAAAGAGGACCTATAGTTTGGCCAGAAGGCAGCCAACAAAGTGACTCTAGAGCTAGAAATAGGAAACAGGACTTGGACCTTCCTGGGGCAAAGGATGCTGTCCTGGCTTCTGGAAGAGGGACTTACTCATAGCAGGGGTTTTTGAGGGCCTCTGGTGGGGAGATATACATGTATGGTGACACGGGCTTGTCCACAAACGCCCCAAAGCCAATCCGAAGGTTACTAGTGAGCTTTCGCATCTGGGTGGCCAGCTTGGTACCCAGGTTCCGGATGCTCGACAGATCATCCTTCATGGAGTAAGACAGGTCCATCAAGTAGTAGATGTCCACAGGGTAATCCTCCACTTGCCGCACTTGTATGGAGAAGTTCTTTGAATCATCTGGAAGGCAGAAAGATGTTAGTTTTTATCTTCTTCTCCCTCTAAGATTGAATAAGCGATTTGGACACAGTTGGGCCCAAGTTATTGCATGATCAAAGCAAACCAGAAAGCCCTGGTCCTTTTCCTCTTCCTCTGCAATTCTATTACTCTTCTAGTCTCTTGATCCTCCTATTTTTAACCTCTTCTTTTCCATTCTAAAATTTTCCACTTTCTCTAAATCCCCAGAGGATTTCTAATCCTGTGAGTTCCAAGGATCTACCACTGTGAGTCACAGAGGTTTTGACAATTACTACATTTCAGACTCTGTAAAAGACAGAAATTGCACCCTACCCTTCTCTGACTCCCATCGCATCCAACACATGCCTTGTACATAGTAGGTCTCTCTTAAATCCTTCTTGACTTACTTGGAAAGTCAAAATCAATGCTTTAAAATGTCTGCCTCTTAGTCTAACCCTTCCTCCATCTAAAGGTCTTGTGTACCTATTTTGTCTGCCCTCATTCCTCTGTCCCAATCCCCCATGAAAGGGGTGCTTACAAATTACTTGTTCTATATCTCCTTTACACCTCAACACAAAGCTCTAAGTTAGGTAAAAAACAGGCACTTGGGTAAAGGAGAAACAAACGTTTTTTTGAGCACCTTCTGTGTCAGAAGGGTTAAGTAACTTGTCCAAGTTCAAATAGCTAATATATGATAGAGTCAAGATTCAACTCAGATCTTCTGACTCAAGTCCTAATATCTTTTATTTTCTTCCATTCTCCTGCCCACACCTCCCTCCACATCCTTGTCCTCCCACCCCATTTCCATTCTGAGCTCCTTCCCCAAGACTTCCTGCTCAGACTTCCATCTTGCGCTCTATGCCCACCTGTCCCAGGTCTCTCCCCACGATGGGTCCCATCCCTACCTGGCCGGAGCCGGAGTGCAATCCTCTGGGGACTGACTTGAGTGACCTGGGAGCTGTCTCCAGAGCCCTTGTCGCTGAGGGGCCTATCCTCTAGTACTTGGGCCTCACTGACTGGGAACTCGATGGACTCTGGGGCACAGTTATCCTTCAGCAGATTCTCCTTCAGGTCACAGCGAGGTGAGCCCAGAGGCAGGGCCTGTAAGACAGGAGCCCAGAGAGAAGTCCAGCAATCAAAAAGCCTTCTTGCTTTTTGCTAGAGCTATGGTGGCTCTCTGCCTCCTGCAGGCCTTACCACTTCCCAGTCGCTAAGAATTTACCCTGTACGTTGGAGCATAAACAAATTGGTGTGGTCTTTCCTGGGATAATCCCTAGGACAGGAAAGGGAAATTGATACTTTGAGAGGCCAAAGCAGGAGGACTGCTTGAGGCAAAGAGTTCAAGACTAGCCTAGGCAACACAGCTAGACCCCCCTCTCTACCAAAAAAAAAAAAGAAAAAAGGAGAAATTGTGATATCAGGAAGACCTATTCATGGAGTAGTAGCTAGAAAGAAGGCCTGTATAGTAAGATGCCTGGTAGACCAGAATTTTCTAATTGTGGAATACAACACATTTGTGGATCCCAAAATCAATTTAGTAGGTGTCAACCATCATTTTGTTAAATAAAATGCAATAGAATAGAATAGAAAATATCAAAGTGTACAAACAGTCAAAATGTTGTTTTGTGAAACTTTCATATTGCTGGCAAGTGGGGAATAACATGTATGTGGAAAGTAAAAAGTTCCTTGTCAAAGTTTCCCTTCTTGTTAAATAATAATAATAATAAAATAATAGTTAGAAATAATAGTTTCTTTTAGAGACTAACTTTCTTCAAAGCCTTCTTGCTTTTTGCTAGTAACTCTTCATTAAGCCCTATCCTATGCAGCTGTTAAACATAAAGGAATAAGTACATTCTATGTCCTTATACTTTAACCAAGATATTTGTGCTAGACATGCTCACAGGCATGTAGTACATTCTATGTCCTTGCACTTTAACCAGGATATTTGTGCTAGATATGCTCAGAGGCATGTCCCAGCTCACAGCCTCTGCCCTTTCCTTATTTAGGAATATTATCACTTTCTTTCACAAGCAACTCCCTCTTTTCCTTTGTTCTCCATTGCCTTTACCTATTTAGAAAAGTTTTAAGTTGTTAGTCAATCAGGTTCAGTTTAGATTGTGAGGTCTGGCACCAACCAGCGGAGATCAGACACAGCAGTAAGGACCCATTGCATAAAGAATAAACATGACTGCCTTTCCTTTGTTCATTGTACTCTTGTGGCAAGATTGCTGACAAGCAGTACCCCTTATGCAGAAAGTAAAATTGCCTTGCTGAGAAAACTTTTTGTCGGAATATTAATTTTTCCTTGCAGAACCAAAGAACAAGCATTTTGCAATGTGTTTATTTCTGTAGGTTAGAGTCAAAACTGTTTGGAAGCTACTGTATTTAACACAGGTTAGACTGTGAGATCCATGAACTCAGGGACTGTGTGTGTCTTGGTCCCTCTCAATTCTCAGCATCCAATCCAGGACTTACCACAAACATGATAGGGAAAGGCAATGTAAGGAGGCAGGAGACAGTCAGGGCTAAGAGCACAGTAGTGAACCTCAGCATTGTACTTACAACTGCTTACTAGGGTAAGTCATCTAAGTTCTCCAAGCCTAGTTTCCTCAGCTGTAACATGAACATAATAACAGTCCCTGCTTCAGATCATAAGAGTAATCAAAACCACAAAGTCAAAAAGTAGAATAGTAGTTTCCAGGGACTGGGAGGAATAAAGAATTATTGTTTAATGGGTACAGAGTTTTAATTTTACATGATGAAAAGAATTAAGGAGATGGTGATGTTGGGTTTCATAACATTATGAATGCATTTCATGCCACTGAACTGTACACTTAAAAATGGTTAAAATGGGCCAGGTGCAGTTGCTTACACCTGTAATCCCAGCACCTTGGGAGGCCAAGGTGGTGGATCATCTGAGGTCAGGAGATCGAGACCAGCCTGGCCAACATAGTGAAACTCCATCTCTACTAAAAATACAAAATTCAGCCAGGTGTAGTGGTGTAAACCTGTTTCCCAGCTACTCGGGAGCTGAGGCAGGAGAATCACTTGAACCTGGGAGGTGGAGGTTGCAGCGAGCCGAGATCATGCCACTATATTCCAGCCTGGGTGACAAAGCGAGAACTCGTCTCAAAAAACAAAACAAAAAAATGGTTAAGATGGTAAATTCTATGTTATGTGTATTTTTCCCACAATAAAAGTTACCTAAAAATAATAGTAATTATGGTACCTCCCTCATAGGGATGTCACACAGGCTAAAGAAGACCATGCACAGAAAATGCACAGTAAAGTAGCTGGCACAGAGTAAGTGCTCAGCAAATGTGAGCTATGACTATGAGAAGCTTGACAAGTACTTCCTGGATAAGCTAATTATGAATAAACTCCACAAACTTAGGAAAATGCCATGATACTGGGCACGTGACCAGAGCCCATCCTATCACTTCAGCTTCCTCCTTCACCCTGGACAAAGAACAAATTGAACATCCTTCCAAAAACCCTGGCGTGTAACCCACAGTCCCCCTGGGGCTCTGTGTGCTTACACCTGAGTATTGAATGGGGACCACGCCATACTGGAAGGAACACTGGAAATCAGGAGAAAGGATCAATCCTAGGCTTTCCACTGGCTGGTCATGTGACCTCAGATATATCATTTTGGGTCCTTACCTGTTCAACAAGGCAATTAAATGACATGGTGTTTTCAGTCCCTTCTGGCACTGACATTCAGCCAATTTAGCCAGCACTGTGTGGGTACATGTCTATCAGAGCTCCTTGCCAGGTTGAGGGGACCAGCCAGGAAGCTGGAAAACCCCTCCCTGGACCTATTTCACAATGTCTAGGCCTTTGGGTTCTCCCCAACCCCACCCCTACCCACATCCCCCACAAGCATTTCCAAAGGTCTGCTAGATAACCCACTCCAATATCCCAGAACTAGTGTTGGCATTTATTGAGCACTTACTGTATGTCAGGTACTGTGGTGAGCACCTCACATGGATTATTACAATCCGCCTGACAGTTCCATAATGCTGGAACTATTATTATTTTACAAGGGAGAAATCTAAGGTTTGAAGGAACCTTAGATTCACAAATTAGATTCACAAATGAGGAATCTAATCTTACAGGTAAGGAATCTGAGGAATGTAGAAGTTAATTGAGAAGGAATTTGCTCAAAGATGCAGAGCTAGGAAGTGGCAGAACTGAGAGGACAGCTAGATTGTCTGGCTGTAATTATCCTCATAAAATAAGCTTTATTACACTCTATATAGAGTGAGAATCAAGGCACAGAAAAGGAGGAGCGTGGAAGGAATGGTCTAAGGTGCAGCCACAACAGAGAATGCCCTAGGTAAGGAACAGGATGCAAATGGGCATGTGAGAGGTACAGAGAAGGATGGATGACATCTGCTTCCTCAGTCCCTTCAAGCAAGCTGGCAGCTATAATGCCAGGTGAGGGACTGGCCCACAAGGAGCCATTCATACACAAAAACCCTATACCCCGCTGGGTGCAGTGACTCATGCCTGTAATCCCAGCAGGGGCTGAGATGGGTGGATCACTTGAGCTCGGGAGTTTCAGACCAGCCTGGGCAACAGGGCAAAACCTCATCTCTACTAAGAATGCAATATTCTGGGCATGGTGGTGCACACCTGGAATCCCAGCTACTTAGGAGGCTGAAGTGGGAGGATCACTTGAGCCAAGGAGGCTGAGATTGCAGTGAGCCAAGATCACACCACTGCACCCCAGTCTGGGTGACAGAGTGAGACCCCATCTCAAAACAAAAACAAAAAAAGCAACCCTGTAACCCCAAAACCCTTCCCAATGCCTGAAGTCTCTCTCCCTCTCCAGTCCGAACCCCCTTTGATGGGCTGAAGCCTTCCCCACGCGAATTGGGTCATGAGCATTAACAACAGCATGAGGACTACCCTGGCCCAGACAAGAAGTGAGAAGAGTTTCTGGAAGCCAGCAGCTTCTTTCTTTCTCTCTCAGCTTCACAGGTATGCAGGCAGAGAAATGGCCTCAGCAATGGAAACCAATGAATAAGAGTTCACCTTCCTGGTGGCAAATATTCCAACAGGGACATCAGAGACCTTCCACAGCTCTGAGGAAGATGAAAGTCTCCCCTGCACCCAGTTCTGGCTAAGGACAGAATGACATGGGGAGAACTAAGGCACTTCAGGTTTTGTGCCCAGACTCCCCCTGTTGTCCATGCCTACCTCTCCTACCCCTTCCTCCTCAGGAAGCAGTCTTTTTCTTCCAAAAAAAATAATCCTATCTCTGATTCCAGCTGCCCACAAAGCTCCAGAGAGAAAACTGTCCCAAAAAGGCAGTGGATAAACGGGGATGCAGTGAGGAGCGGATTCTTTCCAGGACCAAAACATGCTGAAGGAGAGAGCAGGGACGGGATGAGAGCAGCAAGGTCATCATGCATCTTCAGGCTACATCCACGGAGGGAGAGAATGCTTCAAACGGGAGTTTCCTGACCCCTATTTTCTAATGTGGCAGTCCTAACGAGAAGAGGATTTGAAGCACTAAGATGTGCTGACAGTCCTATGGTTTGTTATGAGTTTCCTTAGAAAAATTAAACACTGAAAAACAAAACTGCCTCTCTCTCCCTTTGTGGTTGCTGACATCAGAGGTCAGGAATAACAGGCCTGCTTGTCAGCCAAGCTCTCCCCAAGAACCCTCTATCCCAGAAAGGCACCAAGGCAGTGACCTCAACATATTTGGGCAACATTCCTTTTTGTGGTAACCCAGGCTGAAGGTAGAAGGAATGTCTCCAGGTTATGCAGGGAGAAGCTAGAAGCAAGAGGGGGTGGATATTAAAGTTCCAGTTCCCAGGGAAACTGGATGTTACACAAAAAGGGCAAAAATAGCCAAGACCCAGGGGAAGGGCCTGAGCACAGAGGTGGGAGGTTCCAGCCGGCACCATGTGAGCTTGCTGAATTACCTCCCTCTCCTGGGAGGGTGACACATGCTGTTAGTGCTATTCACCATTAATCCCATTTTGGAAATTGGGAAAGTACAACATGAATAGTTGTCATTATCCTGCCTGTTTCACAGGGCTGGTCAGAAAGTAAAGGAAGACTGTGAATGTGAAATGCCTTCAAAATATAAAAATCTCAACATAAATTTACTATACTGAAATCCTTTAGGACAGAGGTTCCCAGCCTTTTTGGCACCAGGGCCTAGTTTCATGGAAGACAATTTTTCCATGGACGGGGAGGTGGGGTTAGTTTCAGAATGAAACTGTTCCACCCCAGATCATCAGGCATGAGTCTGATTCTCATGAGGAGTGAACAACCTAGATCCCTCCAATGGGCAGTTCACAGTAGGGTTTGAACTCTTAGGAGAATCTAATGCCACCGCGGATCTGACAGGAGGCGGAGCTCGGGCGGTTGTGCGCACTCGCCCACCGCTCACCTCCTGCAGTGTGCCTGGGTTCCTAACAAGCCTTGAATCCATACTGGTCCATGGCCCAGAGGTTGGGGACCCCAGCTTTAGGACACAGTATAAACAAATAAATGCAAATATAAGGTGACTCTTTTTTACAATTACCATGATAACTACTATTATTTCATACTCTTTTCTTGGAGAGCAAGAGACCCCAGAGTGCCAAAATATCTCCCTATCCATTGTAGGCTCGATTAACTCAACTGGTGAGGACAAGAATTCACTTGAACATGCAGAAAGAGAAGAATGGAGACGGCAGAAAGAAGGAGGAGAGGAAAAGGAAGGATTTTTGTTTACAGCTGTTGGTATTCACATTTCATTATTTACAAGGAAAGGAGCACTCTTAATATTATACTTCCTTTTACAATAATAAGTTGGAGCAAAACTTTCAAGATGAACATTTATCCTCCAGATTAAAAATAAATAGAAAGAATATCTTTGAGAATGAAATTATGTTTGTGATTACAAAGAAATATAAATCATGGCCTCTATCTCACTCCTGCAGTTGCAGAGAAGAAAATGAGAAGGAAATCCTATTAGAGTCTTCCTCTGCTTTGCTAGACTCAAACTCCTTCTTCCTCTGTCACCTTGGTTGTCAGGCTAAGTGGGAGCTGGCCCACCTTCCGGAATGCACTCCAGCTTATATAAGAATTCTTAGCATTTCCCTCCACTGTAGGGTTGCCAGATTTAGCAAATATTTGGGACATACCTATACTAAAAATTATTTTTTAATTCAAAAATTATTTTAGATTTATTTTTTAGAGACAGGATCTCCCTATGTTACCCAGGCTAGAGTGCAGTGGCTATTAATACACATGATCATGGTGCACTATAACCTCAAACTCCTGGGCTCAAAGGATCCTCCCATCCCAGCCTCCTGAGTAGCTGGAACTACAGGCACCAGGCTGGATGTTCTGTATTTATCTGATAACCTTAGCTCCACCTCCACCCACCTCCACCCCAACCCCAGTGGCCCTTCAATTAGCAATGTTTGTTAAACTTGCTATCATAACAACCCATTCTGATGTAATAAACGCAGGGTCCATCCTGGGAACCTTTGTTTTTAACAAGCATGCCGGTAATTCTCAACACCAAATGAGTTTGGGAGGTTCTAGACCCCAGCATGGCACCACTGAGACCGAGACCATAAGTTGAGTCTCTGTATGAAGCTGGCCTCTTTGCTAGATTTACAGAACAGAGAGAGCACATCACCCCAACCCGTGTCAGTATACAACCCTCCAAGAACACACCCTATGCAGATGGGCCCAAAATTCCATGCTCATCCACACTGGCCATGTTTTCCTCTTACCCAGCCAAGCTCTCACTATACACACCCAAGAGCTCGAGTCCTCTAGGAGCAAGAAAAAGCTGAGCCCAACCAGTTGTTTTTCCAGGCACTGCCAGCTTGCCTGGAACAGCAGGGGAGGAAGAACAGAGGGCTCTCCAGGGTTTGATTATTCGACAAATTACCTACAAAATGGACCAGACAATTCACCTTTGGTTTTTTTGAAGTCAATGCCCAAGGCATTGTCATCAATTAAACTTGGCCTATCCAGGGGAAGCCCTGCTCCTCTCAGGAATAAAACAGCATTTATGTTCAGGTTACAGTCCAGGATTCCCACCTCCCATTCCTCCCTAGTCACCACATTCTGTCCCATTTCGGCTCCTCCACCCTTCCTTCTCTCCCTCCACCCTCTTGCTCAGAGATGGTTGTAGTCATTCACTAATCTTGGCCCCGCCTACTTTCATGTTCATATGTCATTATCCCAGGGAATATCTCACTGGACTTTCTACCTCCTTCCATTCATTCTCTTTAGTCCTAGCTGCGCCCATTTCCTCGCTGACTGTCTCCCTCACTCCTAGGCTGTTCCTACCTTATGTTCTGATCTACACTGCACCTTTCCCTCTGCCCTCCCCAGGCCTGCCCCAGGGGATGGGGATCCAACAGTCACCCAAAATATTCTACCCTTGCATCTTTGAAATCTGGTTACGTGACCTAAGGGCTTTGTGTGGTCAAGCCTCAGCCCACCTCAGCTGTGTGGCTACTCCCTGTGCAGATCAAGAGAGATGAAACATGCAGGACAGACCTCCAAGGTTTTGTTTTTCCCACATTCTCCGGACCAGAGGTGCCTGCATTTTATCTTGCTTTGGGTTGAAACAGAGAGAAGGAGGAAAACAGGAAAACACCCTTTGAGTGACACTAGGGCTTCTGCCCTGACTTTCCTCTGCTCCTGAAGGCTTTGGGCCACCTAAGGCACCCTCCCCATCCAGCTCTCCCTTCTTCCAGCTTTCAGTTGCAGAACTGCAACTTCCCAGTGAAAGCAGCTTTAGTAATATCAGAATGAGAGGAAGGAGAACATAGTGAATGAGGAGGGAAGAGGCTACATCATACTGAGCAGTCAACTGAGCCCAGAAGGGAGGAGAACCTGCGGGGGTGGAGGAGAAGGACTCATCCATCCCCCCCTTACTCCCCATCCCCAGCCCCAGGGAATGTTTCATTTGCTAAATGAAGTCAGTGTGGCCCAGATGTTGGGAAGCTGCCTCTGGAAGCATTTCCCAGGCTGAACGACTAAGAGGCCAAAGCAGCGTGCAGAGCTGGCCTCTGCTGCTCTGGCAGCCCTCCTGGCGGGTGATAAACACAGCCTCCCAGCTCCCACCCCTCCCCACCCCCGCCTGCCAGAGAGGTTGCCTTTTTAGGATACTCAGTGGATCTGGAAAAGAAGCAGATAGACTGAGGGACTGGATTGAAGCGGCCTTAAAATTGGAGAGGGCTGGGACTTGCCGCAGGACAGAGAGGACACCTCAGGTAGCTGAGTGGAAGCCAGGCCAGGAGCTCAGGTAACCACCTGCTGGCCGGGCCAATGACTCAGCCTCAGACTCTATAATCACTGAATCTCTGCAGCCACTTTCATCTCCCACCCCCACCCCATCAGCTCTTGCCAGCTCCAAATTTCCATCCCAGCCACAAACATAGCCATTCCCTCAGACACACTCATTCCCTAGGGCCCCAGACACAACAAACCCTCTGCTTAGACACAACTAACCCTTTCCTGTCCCCCTCCCGTCCTCATCAAGTGGGCCCAGGTTTTTCCTCAACACCTGTGAGAAGGAGAGAAAGAAAAAGGTAAATCTGTGGGACCCAATTGTCAAAGAGAAAGGAAGAGAAAATATCTTCTGATTAAACATCCCCACACACAAGCACAAGATTCCTCTTCTGTTTGCCTTTTTTAAACTCTAGGAAAAAGAAATAAGCCAACACCCCCCCACCCAACCCCATCATACCTACACCCCTTGCTGCCTCTCCTTTTGAGACCTGATGCTCTGCTTCCCTGTGATATTCCACCCCAACAAAATGCAAGCAAAAGGCCTGGCATGGTGGTTCACACCTGAAATCCCAGCACTTTGGGAGGCCAAGGTGGGAGGATCTCTTTAAATAGTTTGAGACCAGCCTGATCAACATAGTGAGACCCTGTGTCTACCAAAAATAAAAATAAACTATTTTTTCTTAGAAAAATAAAAGCAAGTGAAGTGTGAGAAAGGGCAGCAATAGCTACAGAGAGGCCAGTAGGTCCAGCCAAATTAGCAAGGGCCAGGGGCTCTATGGCAGTGGTAGACTAGGGATAGTATTCCTAGCATCATCCCCATGACAGCTTGTCATCATCCATCAGTGGGAAAAATCTATCAAAGTTTTGCTCAGAAGGGACAAGGGATGAGTATGTGTTTAAGAGGGAAGCAATAACTTCATAGATCTGTTTCTGCACAAAAGCAGCTTAGTCTGGGGAAGAAACAGGTCTAGTACCTGCTCCTTACCTCATCAGAGCACCAGGCACACATGGGACTCACAGCCAGACACTGCTGGCAGGAACTCACACCTCGCATGGTACAGATGTTGGGTCCTGCAACAGACAGACAAAGGCATTAGCACCAGATTTGGCTCAATGAAGGCACTTACCTGCCCCATCCTTCCCAACTTTTCCATTGCCCAGGTTTACGGCTCTCAGGTGTACACAAACACACCCTAACCATACCACAGACATCTACCAAATACAGGTTATTGGTAAGGAAGAAGCAGAAGGAGGAAAATCAGGAGAAACTCATCACCACTCTCAATTGATGAGGCCACAGTGATAACAAGTGATAGGGCAAGGCTGAGCCATGGACCCAAGTCTCAGATCATAACTGATGGAAAGGCTTTAATTAACAACTGGTTTGACACCTACATTGTGTAAATGAATATATCTCTGAGGCCCAGAAAAATGGCAACGTATCCCCTCTTCAATCATTCTACTGATATTCACGGCCACTACACAGGGGATCCAAGGCCCAGATGCACTAGCATTAACACACAGCCTAAATGCAATGGGGGTGTGGAGGGCAGGGTGAGGTCTCGATCTCTTGACTTCGGTGGCAGTGTCCCATGGGCTGGCAAGGGAAAAGCAAATCTGAAATCTTCTCAAGCTTTTCCATGCATATATCTTGGAATCCAACCATAAAATGCTCCAGGAGGAAGTACAGAAATGTTAGAACAGGCTGATTGATACACACTGAAAGAACATGGAACTTTAGAGTTGGAAGGTTTGTGCTTGAATTCTGAATGCTCTTCCTACTAGCTACCTCATGACCTTGGGCAACTCAACTAGCATCTATGGGATGACAATATCTGTCTCACAGGATCTGTACAGAATTCAGTGAGGTAAGAGGAAGCACTTGGTACAGTATAAGGTTCCATTCAAATGTAAACAGTCCTCATACTTTCAAAGGACAGAAAAAAGGGTGGGAGGAGGAGCAGGAACAACCAAGAGAACCAAAAGAACCTTGAGAAGCTCTGCCAGGAAGCCAAACCCAGGAATCTGCTTACACAGAAGCTTCCATCCTCTCTACTTGCCTGGCTCAGCATCCCTGCTCCAGTCAGGAACCCTTCTTCCTGCAGTGCCCTAGGGAGGCTTTTTCCAATATAAGGAGCAGAATGTGGGAGATCTGTTCTTCCCCATGACCCAGTTACCCTGGCACCTCCTTTATGTAGTTTTCCAAAGGGTCCTCTTTGCTCCCAGCCTGTAAGACCAGCAAATCTATTTTTGGAGAAATCAGCCTGACCATTGGGATGATTTCCCCAAAACTTCTCATTTAGCTGTTTCGGTCCATTTTATTATGGTGTGACTGAATTCCCTCCTTCTCAACACCTGAACAAAAACACACTCAGAAAATGAGTGTACACACACACACACACACACACACACACACACATTGTAAAGAAAAATTATGGCTGGGCATGGTGGCTCACGCCTGTAATCTCAACACTTTGGGAGGCTAAGGCAGGCAAGATCACTTGAGGTCAGGAGTTTGAGACCAGCCTGGCCAACATGGTGAAAGCTCATCTCTGCTAAAAAATACAAAAATTAGCTGGGCAAGGTGACATGCGCCTGTAGTCCCAGCTACTCAGGAGGCTGTGGCAGGAAAATCACTTGAACCTGGGAGGCAGAGGTTGCAGTTAGCTGAGGTCACGCCACTGCACTCCAGCCTGGGTGACAGAGTAAGACTCCATCTCAAAAAAAGGGGGTTGGGGGAAGAAAAATTCTATACCATTTGGAAATAGACAAAGGAATATGAATGTAATGTAGAGTGTTGACTAGTTGACCCACCATGCTTAGAGATTATTTGATTTTTTTTTTTTTTTTGAGATGGAGTTTTGCTGTTGTTACCTAGACTGGCATGCAATGGCCCTATCTCAGCTCACCACAACCTCCGCTTCCTGGGTTCAGGCAATTCTCCTGCCTCGGCCTCCCAAGTAGCTGGGATTACAGGCACGTGCCACCATGCCCAGCTAATTTTTTGTATTTTTAGTAGAGACGGGGTTTCACCATGTTGACCAGGGTAGTCTCGATCTCTTGACCTCGTGATCCACCTGCCTCAGCCTCCCAAAGTGCTGGGATTACAGGTGTGAGCCACCGCGCCCAGCAATTATCTGATTCTCTGAGTATTTACCTTTTATTTGACTTCTATTAATCAGGATATTTTACAGTACTTAAGAATAGAGGTTGACCTATCGAAAACCATAATAATGGAAATGATTCTTGATGAGAACAATGTATACTATTCTTTTTAAAAAATAATAATAATAAGTGTTTGCTCTTTAAGCCACCCAGTTTATGGCATTTTTTTATAGCTGCTAGAACTGGCTATGATAGCATTTTAATCTAATCATGATCATATTGTGGTGTATAAGGTAAATTATTTAAATAAGAGAACAATGTATATTACTCTTTTTTTTTTTGCCCATCTGCAACTGTCTTGATCGAGTTATACAATGAATATTATTCTTGTCCAATAACAATACCAATGATTTCTGTCTGACAGAAAGGGTTATCCCCCACAGGTTAAGGTTAATTGCCTTGTAGAATATTGAGCAATTTTGAATCTATTCACTAATTCATTTCGGCATTCCTTTGACTGAACAACTATAAATCTCCCTTCTTTGAATTCCCTTTTGAACTACTACTAATGTTTTACTGGTTCTCTCATTACTAAAGTTGAATACAATCTTATACACATGTTCACTTGATATTTATATAGAAATCATACTTTAACTCTGTGAAAATTATATATACTTTAACAGTATCCATTTCAGGGATCTTCGGGGGGCGGGGCGGGAGGTCTAACAGAACGGGTACACACACAATGAGTACACACACAATGTCATCCTAATCAAGTCACCCACTAATAGTGTGGCCACAGGTGAATCATTTAACTCCTCTCAGCCTACATTTCTTCAATTCTAATATTCCTGCCACATCATTCAATGCTAATATTCCTACCACATCATAATTATTTATGTGTCTGCCTTAACAACACTGCCACCCAATAGATTTTAAGTCCCTTGAGCCCTGCTCTGCCCTGCCCAACTCAGCTCCAGTTCTTGCTCAGTGGAGATGCTCAGTAAATATGTATTAGGGCAAACTGAAAGGTAGGGGAATAGATCTAGTTTTGTCTTTTTTTTTTTTAAGCAACGGAGCTCATTTCTCAAAATTATGCATAGAATTCCAATATAAAACATGTAAATGGTTTACAACAGTTTCTCAGACAATTTAAGCTTTCATTGTTCTCCAAAAAACCCTAGATTATATGAGGAAGCCCCAGGTTTCCTCAGAGCCTTGAGTCCACCTAACTTCAAAGGCCTTGCCCAACTTTAAAATTCCACAAGTGGGATGCCATCTTAAGCCCACGAGTAACCTCTGGGACTCCACTCTGACTTGACTGCAACTTCAGAGTGCAAGTGTGAGAACTGTGAGTGGGAATTATGACACTGGTTCTAAGCCTGGCCTTAAAGCATCAATGTCACCTCTGAGGTTGGGTAGCCCTGAGTCATGCAATGTCTGTAACTGCTAGTTTCAGGATTACTGAATGTTCACAATAAACAATGTAACCCAAGACTTCTCCCTGCATGAGCTGCCTGGCCATCTCTTAGCCTTAAATTGCTCTCTTCCCCGCAGATGTGGACATAGCCTCTCTTTTTCCCCTATTAGAAGACTTCTGAGAGGAGTACAGCCTGAACTATTTTAGGCATCTCCCTCCCTTTCTGGAGTTTCCATAGGAACTGGCATGTAGAGGGGTAATTCTGGACATAAATGCCATTGATATTCACAAGAGAGAGAAGCACAAGGAGACCTCAAGAAGGGTTAGAAAAGGGAAGAGAACGATGGGAGGTATTTTGGCTGTGTCTCCACCCAAATCTCATCTTGAATTGTAGTGCCCCAAATCCCCACATGTCATGGGAGGGACCCAGGGGGAGGTAATAGAATCATGGGGATGGTTACCTGTATGCTGCTGTTCTCATAATAGTAAGTTCTCATGAGATCTAATGATTTTACAAAAAGCTTTCCCCTCTTTTGCTCAGCACTCCTCCATCCTGCTACCATGCAAAGAATGATGTGTTTGCTCCCGCTTCCACCATGACTGTAAGTTTCCTAAGGCCTTCTCAGCCATGCTAAACTGTGTGTCCACTAAACCTCTTTCCTTTATAAATTACCCAGTCTTGGGTATGTCTTTATTAGTAGTGTGAGAAACAGACTATTACGGTAAATTGGTAATGGTAGAGTGGGGTGCTGCTATAAGGATACCAAAAATGTTGAAGGGACTTTGGAACTGAGTAACAGGCAGAGGTTGAAATAGTTTGGAGGGTTCCAAAGAAGACAGGAAAACGTGGGAAAATTTGGAGCTTCCTAGAAACTTGGAGGGCTCAGAATACAGGACGATGTGGTAAAGTTTGGAACTTACTAGAGACTTTTTGAATGGCTTTGACCAAAATGCTGATAGTGATATAGACAATGAAGTCCAGGCTGAGGTGGTCTCAGAAGGAGATGGAACTTATTTGGAACTGGAGTAAAGGTCATGCTTGCTATGCTTTAGCAAAGAGACTGGCAGCATTTTGCCCCTGGCCTAGAGATTCATGGAATTTTGAACATGAGAGAGATGATTTAGGTATCTGTCAGAAGTAATTTCTAAGAAGCAAAGCATTCAAGAGGAAGCAGAGCATGAAGGTTTAGAAAATTTGCAGCTTGATGATGTGATAGAAAAGAAAAATCCATTTTCTAGGGAGAAATTCAAGCTGACTACAGAAATAAGTAACAAGGAGCCAAATGTTAATCACCAAGACAGTGGGGAAAATGTCTCCAGGACATGTCAGAGAACTTCATGGCAGTCCCTCTCATCACAGATCCAGAGGCTTAGGAGGAAAAAATGGTTTCCTGGGCCAGGCCCAGGGCCTCCCTGCTATGTGTAGCCTAGGGACTTGGTGCCCTGTATCTCAGCCACTTTAGCCATGGCTAAAACTGGCCAGCATAGAGCTCTGGCCATGGTTTCAGAGGGTGCAAGCCCCAAGCCTTGGCAACTTCCATGTGAT